ATCCGCCATGTAAGGCACCGGGCGATTGGCCAGCGTCCCGACGTGCGGATAAAGTGACCGTCTGCGCATGTGCGCAAGTGACGTCGGATAAACGCGAGGTCGGATTTACGAGAGGTTGGATGTGAAACCTTCCGGGTGAATACTGTACAATTAATTATCAATTAGTGATTACTTATACAATTAATGTTAACCTATTCTTCATTCGTAGGCCTAAGCAGCCGATCATCACTGAATCGGTACGGTGAGAGGCGCGTCAAGTTGGTATTTACAATATGTACAAAACCAGACAATGGAGGTGTTTAACAGACTCTAACAAACTCGGAACATAATAGTGGTTTACGAGAAATGCAAAACAGCAGAAAACAACTATCGAGCCCCGAAATCGAACTTGTAGCATAGATAAAAGGAGTATACACCTTTTATCTATAGTGACAAGTAGTGAAGGATAACTTTCATCACGATGCAAAATAATCAATAATCACTTCATTGTAATTGAATAAATATTATTCTATTGTCTAGTGATTCTCTTTAAAGTTTTCGTATTATAGGTTTACAGGTCATTTAAAAGCTAATCAGATAAAAAAAAAATACCTACATTCACTACTATAGTAGTGAGATGACTTGATGAGATGAACTGTAACTTATTTTGTTTGGGCAAGGATAAAGTTTAAGAAAGGCAAAAATCATACGTTTTGATTGAACAGAAAAAACCATTGAGCTAGAAATACAACTGGAGTTAGTACATGTACAAAAACTCTGCTAGAAAATGAGACGCTGTTAACATTTTCTTATGTTGGTACCCACTAGGGAATGGGCTCATTGGCTCATGGTTTTATATGTAAAATCCCCTATTCCCCTAGTTCAAATACTTTTATCCCTGTAAAAATTGTGGACAATGTCTCTCAATTATTATTCAGTGTTTCTTCCAGTTGTATTTCTCAGAAAAAAGATTCGTTGAAAACCAAGAATTTCTTAGAGCTCAGCTGTATGGATATGAGCTGTTTTCGTTTAATGTATTTCTATTAATGATACTTATTGCATTATTTCAAAATCCCAAAGATCAGTAATATAAGAAATTTACAGCCTCACTTTGGTGTCACACCTGATAATACACACATATGTACTTGGGAGGGCTCCCAGCTTTTTATGCATGCAGAACCATTTAGAAAGTCGTTGTTCCAAGAAAGAACAAACAATAAGGTGTTTTTAAACAGTTTGTCACATGTTAAAAGCAGCTTCACAGCAGATGGTGACATTTGAATGTTCAACTAACGTTCCAGTATTTCAGCCGATGAGATTTTACTTTGTCCCATGAAAGAAAGATATAGTTCCATTTCAGTAATTGAGAGACAGATGCAGCATGCCAGAAATACTGGATGAGTGTGTTTATAAGATGAGCATTTGGGGGATAAGATTTGTTTGAAGTGTCTGCAGACTTTATAGCCTATCGGGATAAATTGTTGTGTGGTCTGTGTATGGTAATCATGTTAGTCATTCTGTGATATGCAAGATAAATTTTAGGGTTTTCTGATGGTAAAGCTTTTATTTAGCATAGTAATATTTTCCCCGATTTGATTACCCTATTTCAGAATACCTATTGATTTATAGCGATAAAAAGTATTTTTTTACCTTTAAAAATATCCTTGGGTACGGTATCTGGTCAAAAAATTGCATCTTCAGGTTCATCCTGTTCTAGACACGTCATAAAATTTGAAATTCTATAAATATTTTTCCTATTCTTGATTTAGTCCTGAAATATGAAAATTGTTAATTTAGTTCATAATAGTCAAAATTAGTTAAAACAATCTTGTTCCACATTTGTATCCTACCTTAGTTTTAAATCAATCTGTAGATAAAGTAAAACAATCGCTATTGATATAAATATTAAAATATGTTATTTTTCTGAGTTTAACCTATACATACTCTCTCCAACTTTACTCCATAAACTTTCATCTTCAGGTATGATTCAAAATCAAGAAGATGAAAATTGTTTTATTAAAAGTAATTGGATTCCTTTGTCTGCAAACATGGTACTACAATTGACTATTGGATGCTGAAGGTACTACTAAGTCCAGCCATTTCTAGGCAGGCAATACAGATATGACTAAGTGCTGCAATAGCACTAAAACACTTGAAGTGCAGACTGGCTGTGGAAGTGGTAGACAGTTGATAAGATACAAATGTTATCATTGCACTTCCTGCAAGTGAAAGCCATCTTGACAGTATATCTGAAGTAGAGTATCCTGTTTATTTCAACATCATACTATCTATGATTATTGGGCTTTTAATAAATGGTCCTGACTAAGTGAAACAGCTGGTGTTAGTCAGTAAGAAGCTACACAAGGCATCCCACTTCATTCTGCACTCTTGGGTTCAAATATATGCACCCAGGTGGCGTACCCATCTCATAGCTGATAATATTGGAATTGAAAACTTACGAAGAAAGTAGGCTGTCATAGTAGTCAAGGCTAGATGGCAAGGGATAACGACTAAGAGTCCAGAAGAATTAATAATTGGTATCAGCTGATTTTTCGCCTCCCTTCTTGAAACAATGCACCAGCTGTAAATTCAAAACCCAATCAAAACACTGCTTGAATAAAATACTCCATTAGCTTGACTTGGAATCATACAAGTAAAAGTCTTTGAGCAAAGTCCTAAATCAAATTATAACAATACCAGTTTTCCCACATTTTCACACCCAAGGACGCTAACTCAAGCCCCGAACTGTTTTACACATTACTTTTGATGGCTTAGACCTAGAGTGTGAGGGCATTATCACTTGGATAAAATGCATTTGGTGATTAGCGGAATTTGAACTGAGGGCCTCAGCGAACCGAAGTGTCACACTCTTAATACTAGTACTAGATACGCTCGCTCCCATAACAATACCAATAAGCTTATTATATACTTAAGCATACAGGCTATATTTGTTCAGAGTTTTAGGAAAAATAGTTCAGTAGTTAGGGATGTGAAAGTATGGGAAAAAACACACTTTCATATCCAGGATTTTTACAACTGATTTATATCTTGTATTGCATTTGAAACTGTGCAGCTCATGTATTGTATCGCTTTATGAATATTCTTTGCTAAGTAAAAAAGTACAACAGTAGAATCAAACGACAACAATACCCAATGTTGAGCCAAATGTAATGGTTTGTCACAAACAATTGAATGGTGAATTTATCACTCACTCTTCTTTGCCAATTCCTAATAACCAATCGTTGTCAAACATTCATACTAGGGGAATGAGAACTTTTAATTTGGTTTTCAACAAAATATTATTTATTAGTAGGGAAGTATATTTTTCAACAATTTCAGCAATATGTATCAGTCTGTATGTAATGTACAATATAGTAACAATACAGGGGGTATCTATAAGTGTATATGTATTTGTAAATTTCCCTTTAGAGTAGCGGACCAAGGAAACAGGGTTTTCTGGGATAAAAATTGGGTTTTCTCATTTTTGACCCTCAAAACACAAAACTTTCCAGTTTCTCTCTAGACCATTTTAAAGAGCTTAAAAAACAAATAATTTAGTATCTTAAAGTGTTTTTTTACCGGTACAGTTATTGGTTAGTTACGGAAAAAAATTGCAAATTTAAAATTCCCATGTTATTCTTATGGAGAATATTGTAAAATGTTGTAGTTGCTTGTTGGAAATATTTTGATCAAACTTGGTAAATTTATTTATGTTATGCTTAGCTACTAATTATAATTTCAATAAAAAAACATACTTTATTAGCTTCCCTGTAGCAGCAAACCTAGGTACTCGTTAAACCTAATGTTATTTAAATAGATTTAATTTCAAATTAATTCAGGCAAACGGAATTTCGCTTGGTTTGCAGGTTTACTGCGGCGGGGGTATTTTGAGTATAATATGATTCAGGTTCAGGTGTTCTAAGGTAAAACATAAACTTTACTAACACCTAAGTAACCTATTTATGTACTTAAGTTAGCTCGCGCTATGTAAGTTTTAAGGTGAAGCTTTTGGACATTCTTTGATTTTCACGGTAAAGAAAAGACTGTAATATTTACGTTCCCTTTCATTTTAATAATATACTCAAGTACACAAATAAATGTGCTTCATTCAACCAAGTGGTAATTTGAGTTTACCCCTGTATTTTCTGTTATCCATTGTGTATTTGTAACTTTTATCTTAGGTACATTTTAAGAATCACATTCTTTTTGCGTGCTCACTAAGTTTAAAGCAACTATTACCATTAGGGAAAAGGATAAGAATTATCACATTTCTTTAAAATAGGCTAAGAAGTCATCAGGCATCATGAATGTCACAGACTATTAAATCACCGAGATAATGGATAGCGTTTTATTAGTGTTTGGTGTTGCCACCAATTAATTGACCTCTGACCACCATATCAGTGCAAGGCTATTTGCTCTGCTATCATCACATCATTTTTAATCTAGTCTGGATTTGTCATCAGCTGTTTTTCAAGAATTGTGTTAACACATGTGATAATATTATTCAAATCTCATGTTTTAATTCAATAAAAGTGAGGTATACATTTAAGTACCTCGAGGTGAATTACTGATTTCTGTAAAATTCTTACACTTTATATAAACTAAACTTAAAGGACTACTTATTGTAAACTCCATCCTTTATGCCACATAAATGAATAAAGTATCAAAACCGGGAGAGAAATTGATTTTCAACAGTAATACACTCTGAAAGTGACTCAATCAACTGTTCTTTTTGAATAAAGACCGGGCAACAGCTGGTCCATTACGATGGCATGTCTACATCCAAGGCTACTGTCTAATGTTCATTAAAATAAGCAATAAGTATGATTGAGATTTGCCTGTATAGTTTGCATCGTAAGTGTGTAACTGATTTTTTTCTTCAGTAGATTTATAGATCCACATTTTTTTCTTTGCCCCATTGCGAAATTATTGTTGATCTATGAATAAAGCTGTACCGGTTAAAGTTTGAAGTTTGGCTCTTTTACTTACTGTACTCTTATCAATCCCTCATCATGTTTTAGGTGAATGGAGGGAGCTTGGCAGAGAAGGCTGGCCTACAGGTGGCAGATGCTGTCATCAAAGTCAACGGACAAGACGTGTACAGCCTGAGACATAAGGATGCACAGGATTCCATCGTCAAAGCTGGCAACAGCATGGAGATCATCGTCTCTAGGTCAGTACAACACAGGAAGTGTTCAACATTTCAATTTGAAACTCAATAACAAGGTACCCTTAATAACAAGTTGTTTACAAATCTCCTTGAACTTGATCCCTAATCCCATGTTATTGCAAACCTCGATATGAATTTTTAAACCAACTGATGAAGCTCACCTTTAAATCTGAAGGTACTTAACCTTAAAACCTTTAAATATGTGGAGGTACTTTAGTTCAAGCAGGATTGATTCTGAACCAGTTTTATCAAGTTTAAAAACTTAAACGTTAAAATTTACACAGTACTTATGAATGACAAGTGTCGACCAAAATTAGTACGTGCCAAGAATGCAGACTGTGGAGGCCACTGGCTAGTATTCATTCAGTTTGCCCCTTTCGCTGGTTGAACTTTTGCTTTAACTTGTTCACTGATAAATAGACCTGCTGGGTATCTGAGTGGTTATAACAATCAGAAGGTTGCCTGTTTGATCCTTAGAAAAGTCAGTACCTATCTTTTTAATGGTTCGAAACTGGGTCCAGCTGTTTCTTATCGTTTGGCTTTAAATAAATGATCCTGGCCAATGAGACAGCTGATCTTAGTCAGTAACAAAGCTTCACGGATCATCTCACAGCATTCTACACTCATCTTTCACTCATATTTGGGTAAAAATACGCACAAAGGTGGCATCCCCATCTCAATTGGTAATGCTAATGGTAAAGGCATTGCATCTAAATCTATAGTGTTAATGAGTTAAATAGGCCCTAACTCATCGAAATGTTTGTAAAATGTTCAAAACTCTAACTTAAAACCACAAATTTTAAGTAAGGCAGCAAACCTCTGATTTAAATCACCCTTTACACGATCTTCTGTAGTATGTTGATGTATAATCCTTGTAAATTCAACATATGGTCATCTTGGCTGTTGGCTGTTGCCGCAATCTCTGGCTAATTCAGACCTTCTGGCTCTGGCTTCATGCCATCAGTTCACTTGTGTTTTACACAACATACCCAAAATATTTCAGAATGTTACAACCTACCTTGCAGGATGGGAAATATTTTTGTTTAAAACACAACTTTGCTATTTTAAGAATCAAGGTTTGCAAATTTATAGCTCTATGAACTTGGCATGCAGTTTGCTTTCCAGCTTGTCTTGTGGTTCACTTCTCATAGCGGGTGTAGTTAAATGTTAAAACTGTTTTACCCTATCAATAGATTGATAACATTCTTTGAATAAGCTAGTTAAAATTTTCCTTTAAACTTAATAAAATTCTCCCATTTATGTTGGACTCGCAAACCAATAGTTATTTACTTTGGATCCTTGTGGATTGAAGTTTTTTTTAAGAACGAACAAAAACCTCAAAACTATGTGAGTGGTTTGTACAACTATCTCCTTTTAGCGAATTTCCCTATAGGGAAGTAGCTATTACCGTAGGTCTCATGGTAAGACCTAAGCCCGGGACCGATTTACTTTTTCATTTTGATGTCCCCAGAGGCCAAAAACACCATTCGTTCAAATTTTTATATATCTATATATAGATATATATATATATATATATATATGTCCATCCGCACGATAACTTGAGTAATTTTTGTCGGATTTTGATAAAATTTGGTTTGAAGGTGTAAGGCGGGATAAACTTGAATGAGTTCGCGAACCAGCATGATCGGACTATGGGAACGGGGGTTTATGGGGGGTTTTATGGGGTAAAAATAGGTTTTTCCCATTTTTGACCCTAAAAACAGAAAATTTCACAATTTCTTGTTAAACCATTTTGTAGAGCTTAAAAAGACAAATAATTTAGTATATTGAAGCGTTATTATGCGCCTAATTGTTACAGAGAAAATTCAAAAAAATTGTAATTTTAAAATTCCCATGTTATTCTTATGGAGAATAAGTCAACTGTTGAAGTTTGCTTATTTATGAACATATTTTGATCAAATTTGGAAAATACAATAATTTCTTCCTACTAAACCACAGCACCTTTTAACATTTTACATTTAAAAAAAACTTTTACCCTCCCTGTTGCAGCAAACCTAAGTACTCATTAAACTAATTCTGTTTAAATAGGGAATAAATGTGATATTTTTAAGAAGACAATTTAGTTTAAATCCAATCAGGCAAATGGAAATTCGCTAAGTCTGCAGGTTTGCTGCGGCGGGGGTATTTTAATTAATAATTAGCTACCTGGTCCATATAGAAGGTTTGTACAACTATCTCCTTTTTTAATAAATAATTAGCTACCTGGTCCATACAGAAGGAATTATCTACAATTATCTGTAATTATCTACCGTGAGCATTGTAGTACATGAGAGAGAAAGGTATGGTGTTCGACTTTACTCTAGTCACTAGCACTGTGGTAAATCCACAGAGAAGTAAGATACAGAGGACACACTTAATGGTACACTTAAGTGGTGTCCAGCACTAGTGCTAGTGACTAGAGTAAATTGAAACACCATACCTGTCACCCTCATGTACTACAATGCTTACAATGGAGGAAGTCCCTGTTCACTGTGCGATAGGAATTTAAGCATAGTGCTTACCGTTCAGGCTCTTCCTTGTTCGTCACAAGTATATTTCCTGCACAACTTATCAGAGCTGAAAGCGCACGGTAATCCCATAAGCGTGTTTCCTCCATACCATACTTTTCTGGTACATCCAAACATCACTGATATTAATTAAAGTTTTGAACTTGATTCTGATTTTTAATTTACAAAGTTTTAAATTTTTTATGTAAAACACTTATTTAATTGTCTGTTCAGGGGCCCTGGGGGTACATGGAAGCCAAGTGTTACCCCCGTTGGTAACATTCCCTCACCATCCCCCGTCGGTGGTGCCCCAGCCCCCGTAACCAAGACCTCCCTAGCCTACAAGGGTCCGCCTGCCCCCGCCATACCAGGCTACAACACACCAGCCAAGCCATTCTCTCCTCAGGTAGGTAAACAACTGTTATGAATCCTTCTTAGTTTGGTATCTAGTTTTACTAAACATATATTACTCACTGTCTCCTCCTATATTAGGTGTATGGAGAAAGTATTTTTGTACTATTTGACTAAGAATTAAGTGAATGCACTGTTTTATGTCATAACTCAAACTCAACTAACTTTATTTACCTTTATACAAACATAGAATAACAAATAAACATATGATAATAATTAATAGAAATTAACAGGTGTTATGAAATAAACTGTCTCACAACATCCTCCCTTTTAAGTTTGAAAGTTCTTCAACCAGCTTGGTTTTTGTATGTTTCTCTTTGGACGGTTGTATGGTTCTGTTTGATGTGTATTCGCTGACAAATTTTGTTCACTGTTTTCCTCTCTTAAATAAGGGACAAGTTTGAGGTGGAATCGATTTCTTCTCACATTCCTCTTATCAGTTTCAACAATATATGAACGAGGGCTGTCCAGGATTTTCACAATCTTGCCATGTCTTCTAAGGTCCACAATCCAAACTGGGTCTCCTATATGAAGAGGATTGAGAGTTTGCACTTTGTGCCTTCTATCATAGTTGTGTTTGTACTTCTCACGATATCTTTCTTCTCTCCCTTTAAGATCCTTTAGATCTGGTTTTCCACAAAGCAAATGTCCTGTCTGAGGCAATGTGCTCCGTAATCGCCTGTTCATAAGAAGCTGAGAGGGACTGAACCCATTCCAGAGGGGTGTCGTTCGATAGGCTAGAAGCGCTAAATAAGGGTCTTCCACATTTTTCTTTAGAATCATTTTGGCGATTTTCACTGCCGCTTCAGCCTCTCCATTGCTTTGGGAAAATTTTGGGCTACTTGTTACATGCTTGAAGCCATAAACTTTGGAAAATGTCTTGAAATCTGAATTTTCAAGGACTTGAAATTGAGACCCACAGTCAGACCTAATTTCTTCTGGAATGCCGTGTCGACAGAAAAAGGCTTTGCATCTCATTATTACTTCTCGTGATGTTAATGACTCTAATTCAGCTATCTCAAAATATCTGGAGTAATAATCTGTCACAGTCAAAAACCAAACGCCTTCAAGTTTGAACAAATCCATCGCAAGTGTTTTCCATGGCCTGTCAGGGAATTGTGTGGGAAGCAATGGTTCATGACTGTTCCTTGAATGTTTAATACAAGTAGGGCATGATTTCACCATACTTTCAATGGCTGAAGAAATTCCTGGCCACCAGACTGACTCTTTTGCACGTAAACGACACTTGGTGATTCCAAAGTGACCTTCATGTACTCTTTGAAGTGCCCAAGACTGCAGAGCTGGCGGAATTACAAGTCTTGAACCTCGTAGTATCATCTCATTATCAACACTTAGCTCATCCTTAACTGAATTGTATGGTTTTAGGTCATCTCGCAATGATGTCTTAGAAGGCCAACCTTGGATGATTATTTTTTTCAGTTCACGTAAAGTCGGATCTTTATTTTGTTCCTCCAATACTTTAGCAACTATGCAGTCGTTTATATCGATGGATGACAAAACCATTTGAACAAACGCTTGAGTTTCTTCTTCTAACTCACGGTCATCAGTACCTGAAAATGGGAGAGGTGCTCTTGAAAGAGCATCAGGAACTAGAAGCTGCTTTCCAGGAATATAAGTAATTGAAAAATCATATCTCATGAGACGCAATCGAATTCTTTGAATTCTTGGAGACAAATCATCAAGATGTTTGGACTTCAAAATTTGAAGCAGTGGTTTGTGATCTGTTTGTATTGTTATTCTCTTGCCAATAATAAATTCTTGAAACTTTTCACATGCCCAAGCAACAGCTGTAGCCTCCCTCTCGATGTTTGCATAGTTTTTTTCAGAAGGAAGAAGGCTTCGGGATGCAAATGATACTGGTCGTATAGAACCATCATCTTGAACTTGAGAAAGAGTTGATCCTAGTCCTTGAAGCGAGGCATCACATGAGATAATTGTTTCCCGATTTACATCGTAAATAGCTAGGCAAGGAGAGTTGGTCAAAATGAGTTTTATTTCATCAAATGCCTTCGCCTGCTCTGGACCCCATATCCATGGAACGTTAGCTTGAAGTAGTGAATTCATTGGGGCCAAAATCTTAGCTTTGTCAGGAATAAACTTACCAAGAAAGTTTACCATCCCATTGAACCTTTGAAGTTCTTTTACGTTTTTTGGGCAGTCCATTTTGAGAATGGCGGAAACCTTTTCCTTATCAACAGAAATTCCATCGGATGAGAGGAAATGCCCGAGGAATTTAATACTTGACTTCCCAAACTCAGTTTTGTCTTTGTTAAGTGTCATTCCTACATTTTTAAGCTTTTCAAGTACTTGCCGAACAACTGTATCATGTTCTTCTTTCGTTTTGCCCCAAATCAGAATATCGTCCATATGGACTGCGACATTTGACTGGTTGTCTAAGATTTTGTTCATGCATTTCTGAAAATGTTCAGGTGCTGATGTGATTCCAAATGGAAGTTTGAGAAATTTAAAACGTCCAAAAGGGGTAAGGAAAGTAGTTAGATCCTGGGAATTTACATTTAAGGGGACTTGCCAAAAACCACTGTTTGCATCAAGTTTTGAAAACCATTTTGCTCCTGAAATTGAGCTGAGAGACGTTTCAATTTTGGGAATCGGATGATAAGACCGCTGGATGGATTCATTCAACTTTGTTAAGTCAACACATATGCGGACATCTCCATTAGATTTAGGCACTACTACCATTGCTGAGCACCATTCAGTAGCATGCTCAACTGGTGTGATTACATTATTTTGGACCATACTTTCTAGTTCTTTTTTCACTTGACACATTAGGGGTAAAGGTACTGTCCTAGGAGTGGTTATTGCGTATGGCTTTGCGCCATCCTTAAGTGCTATTGTGTAGGGATCAGGAATGACGCCCAGACCACTAAACATTTCATGGTATTCGGTAAAAAAGTCACTGTCTACCTCTGCAACTGAATTAACAAAAGTTAAAATTTTCAAGTCCTGTATTGCTGGACGACCAAGCAAGGGTGTCATGAGTCCCTTCACTACGTATACCATGTGATTTATTTTAACATCTCTGTATTGGATATTTGCTCTAACACAACCTACAGTTTCTAATTTTGTTCTACCAGCCCCAAACAACTCAACTAGAGTCGGCTGGATCCTACTTGGATCAACTATGCCAGGGGGAATTACTGTTACATCTGCCCCTGAATCAATTTTAAATGTTTGTGGCTTTCCCTCAAATAGTAATTCTAGTTTCCAGGGCTTACATTTTGACCCATCCCCAAGTGTACCTATGAATACTTTATTATTTGAAGGTCCTAGTTCACTTACTTCATTTTCATCAGTTACTTCCTGTGCTTCTTTAGATCTGCAGACCTTCGAAAAGTGACCAATCTTTTTGCATAAGTTACATGTTGCGCTTTTTGCTGGACACGTGCTTCTTGGATGAGACGGTTTATAACCACACCAGATACATTGCGCTGGGTATTTTTGTTTCTTTTGACGAAACCTATATCCTTGATTTTGGTTTGAACTCGATGACGTAGTTGCTTCAATTTGAACTCTTTTCTCATCACATAAATCTGCCTTCTCTTTCTTTACGTTATCTGCATGTCTTATTACTGTAATGGCCTTGTATAAATTAATCTCGGGATCTAGCAACAAGCGATCACTAAGTTTTTCATCATTTAAACCCAGTATTAGTACCATCAACACCATTTCATCATTAAGTGAACCCCAGTCACAGGTTCTAGCCAAGGAATGGAGACTAACTATAAACTCTTCAACTGTTTCATTAATTTTTTGTTGTCTCTTCAAAAACTTTGCTCTTTCAAAAATTAAGTTCCTCCGTGGAATAAAATGTTTGTCAAATAAATCTAAGACTTCTTCAAATGTTAGCGTTGATTCGGTTGCTAAATTAAAAGATGCAAAAATCTCATCAGCTTTCTCACCTAATGTGTATATAAGAGTGTTGATTTGTTTGTTCTCAGACTCTTCAGATAGCCCAGATGCTGACCGATATCTCTGAAATCGTGTTTTCCATCTTGTCCAATCTGCTGGTACAAAGGAGAAACTAGCTGGAGGTTGAATTACTGAATGAGTGTTTGATACAATGATTGACTTCTTAGTTGAATTGTTGTATTCATTTTCTCTGCTTCTTTCATTTTCATTATCTTCATAGTCAGATTGTATCCTTCTTGGATTTCTCTTCTGAGGCATAGCTCTAAACCGCTGCCACCATGTACTATTTGACTAAGAATTAAGTGAATGCACTGTTTTATGTCATAACTCAAACTCAACTAACTTTATTTACCTTTATACAAACATAGAATAACAAATAAACATATGATAATAATTAATAGAAATTAACAGGTGTTATGAAATAAACTGTCTCACAACAATTTTGTCGCTTGATTTTTGGGTGGAAATATCCGTTTTGGGTCCTCCTGAGCCCAGAAAAAAGGTTTCAAAGTGATATCTGTGTACAACAAACTACACCTACTACTAGAGCTACAAACTACACCTGTGTACCGATTTTGATGAGTCGTGAGTCCGTGGCTCAGTTGGTAGTGTCATGGACATTGGGCCCAAGTCAGGGATGTCCCCTGAAAAACTTTTTCCCTGGAAAATCATTGAAATACACTCTTCAGGAATCATAATGATTTCTTTATGCACTTCCATGAACTCTAATTTTTCTTTGCAACTGAATTCATTATGCTGCAACCATAAATCCCATAATGTTCTACAATCAACACTTTGACTAAAACTGGTTAATTAATTTGACTAACTTTGACTATTGATTGTTTAATATTGCAAATTGTTAAGTACCGTAAGTAACAGTTGCAATAACCACCAATGATGTACCCAGCTCAACGGTGTCGGAGTCGACCCGGAACGTGTCAAGTCGATAGCATCGAAGCAGTATAACAACCCAGTGGGTCTCTACAGTGACCAGAACATCGCTGAGACTCTGTCTGCTCAGGCAGAGGTGCTGGCGGGTGGCGTGCTCGGGTGAGTAAAGCCAATGAGGCGAGCAATATTGACTAAGACGTTAAGTGAATGCAGCAAGTTAAAAGGTTACACATTCTTGGGTGCTGAAGGAAAATTGAAATAAGTAAGGCATTCTTGTGTGATTAATGGTAAAAAATTGACGTATCTTTAGGTGTATCAAAAAAAAAAAAATTCCAAAATAAACAAAATAAAAAGGATTCTTGGAGGATCAGGCATACTTAGATGAAAGAGCAGGTTCTTGGGGAAATGAGGCACACTAAAATAATTTATATATCCTTGGGTGAATCATGCATACGTAAATATAAAGGGTTTTTGGGGAAATAAGGTACACTAAAATAATTTATATAGCATAGGGTAAATCAATCATACGTAAATAAAAGTAGACTTCTTGGGGTGAATTCACTCTCAAATGAGTGAGGAATAGGGTGGATCAGGCGCAGCCAATCAAAAAAGGCATCTTGGAAAGAATGAAGCATATTCAGAATGATCTAGGTATCCTTGGTGAATGATGTACGTTCAAGAAAATAAAACAGGACACACAAAACAAGAAACAATCAAAAGCTAATAACCAATTGGGTGAAACTGATAACAAGCAAAGCTAACATGCTAACTTAATTAAAAGTAAATGGAAGTTTCAAGTTTGGTAGGCTTACCTGTCAAACATAATTTGTTAGAAAAGATAATTGTAAAAAATATAAAAATTTAAGTATCCTCATCAAGTACGGTACTGTAAATTTAATTGAATTAAATATTTTTCCTATTTTGATATACCCTACCTTAAAGAATCTAAGAAGCTTATTTTATCCATCTTACACAGCTGCCAAACCTCTAATCCGTAAATACTGTGGTCTAACGAATTAATGGCCAAGAGAAGACATGGATTTGGAATCAAATCTTTTTGGCTCTGCCTATTGACATTCTCAAAGTAGGAAATTACACGTAGCCTTGACCAACTCCGTTCTGGTAAACCAAAGAGTAGTAGGCTAAGTGCTTGGGCTAATCTGAGAATAATATTGGGACACGAGAGTGTTTGAGATTCAGCCACAGAAACTTTAACAATTTTTCAACAGTTATACATTATGTTTTACAGTGTGAACTTCATGAAGAACGAGAAGACCAAGTTTGATGCATCGCACAGCGAAGTTTTGAAAATGGTGCAGGAAATTGATAATGAGCCCAGGTCTCCTGAACCAGGTTAGTCTCACTGTACGGCATTCAGTATTTAGATGAAATTGATTTAATTTTGGAAAATATGGAAAAATGAATCGTGAATTTTGTTAAAAGATTTTCTTTGGGTGCTAAAGTTTTAAAGTGAATATATTGTAAATTAACTTTATTGATGATTGAGATAGATTTACCTGTAAATGAGAAAGGTGAAATTGCGTAAATTTTCTTAGTTGAGTATTAAAGATATTGAAACTATATAGAATCACGAGTAGATTTTTCACTACTCTCATAGTATGTGTGTGAAGCCAATATTATTTATTTTTGCATCAGTTCACAATTATTGTAAACAAATTTATCATCACAATCTGTTATATGGCTCTCCTCCATCTTGCATTCTCCCCAAAAGATTTGAATTTTTCAACTCTATAAATTTGAACAAAATAGTAAATATTGCGTAGTATGTTTAGGATGGCCTGGTTCCCTGCAACCGACAAGCCCAACCAGGATTGTTTGCCGGAAAATATTCTCCAAACTCGTGGAAGAACCGTGGTAATACCTTGGGAATGCGAGATATTGTTCTGTTATATTAGACGCAGCAGTCTATCAATGCTTACAAACTGCTGCAAAATTCTTGCCCTGTCCCAATTAATTGTTTCACGATTCTCTTAACATTGTTTACATTTGAACATAAAAATTCAGAACAAAATATTCTCCACGTTCTTTTACCAGCATCATCTAATACAGGCTTTTGTTTCAATGTAGATAAATGTTTTTGTTTATCTAAATTGTTTTTGAAATGAAAATTGTATAAAGTTAAATCATCAGATAAACATTTAAATTTTACTGTGTAAAAATACAAAAAATTACAGCGGAGTTTGAACAAATTTTTCAAGTAGTTGATTTTACTTCTAACAAATTACTCAGGATCCACTCCACATGTTGCTCATCCTGAACCTTTTTTTTGAGTTGTGAAATTTAGAATTCCTACGGCTCAAAACTGTGTTATTCACAGCACGCAGTTAGTTGCCCTCTTAACTATATGTTGCTTATAGAGACTTATCAGGACTACTGAAGAGATGTGGGTGGTTTAAATCTTGTTAAGTTTTAAGTATTTCATTTTAAAAGCGTAAGATTTCATTTAGTTAAATATTGAGTACAGTTTTGTTACAATTTTGTAATGAACAAAACCAATCTAAAAGTAGTTAATAAAAAAAACAAAGAAAATTTTGGTTTTAAAATTTGTTTAGACACTGATCTACATTACTCAACACTAGAGTCACTTTACAATTCTTCTTCTTACTCCAAGACTGATGGAGCTATATGTTGTGTTTTGGAAGTCTTTGATGTGTTAAGGTTTCAATTTGGTAACTTCATAGTTTGACCATTGAGAATTCAAGTTGGTTTTGAAATTTCAAGCTGATAGACTTGTGTTTGATTAAGAGAAACAAACTAATCACGTCACTAGAATTGAAGGGTAAAAATCCAAACAATGAAATTATTAACCAATTGAAACACACTGAACAAATTTACATCTAAGATGGATTTATTTCATAAAATAATTGGAATTTGTTTTACAATTTCCTTTGTTGCCTGTTAAGAAACTTGCCAAATTGAAGGCTTCCCCGTAGATGTAGTGTGATGTCTTGTGTGCAGTAGAGCCCACTACACCCGTGGGTGGGGGAGTGGTGATTCCGCCACCCGTAACTGTGTCGGGCATCAAGCATGTGGCCGCACCCGAGAACAAACCCCCCTCTACGACTGGCTCACAGGCACCCCTACAACCCGGACAGAACATCTGCGCGGATTGTGAACGACTCATTGTGTAAGTAGTGCAACAGAGTTCTGCGGGTGGAGATATGGATGGGTGAACAGAAATTTTTGTTTTTGAATGGTATTATTTTAAATTGGAAAAATATTTTTTCCGTGTGGTTTTTGGAGTGTTTCATTGATTTGTAGTGCCACAGTACAGTGAAGTATCTGTTTTCATTGAGAACAAGTTATGTTCAACCTGTTTCTAAAAATGTTACTGTTGTCGTCGAAGTTCTTCTTTGAGAGATAATCCTATTGTTTGTTTGGCAAAAAAAGTGGCTGACGTTTCTGATGCTTTGCAGCAATTCACCTTCTGGGCAAACCAATAATTTTTTTATTTCAGTTGAATTGTTTTGAATTCCTGAACACTACAAGGGTAAAACAGACGTCAGTATTAAACCTCCTACATCAGTATCACTATTAAACCTTCCTTATGTATCAGAATAATCATCTCTTTGTAATATCAGACTGCTTAGGACTGTTAACTCTGTTTGGGTCTTTTAGTTGTGCTAGTCTGAAAGTGATTTACTAGTGTTTTCTTGTTTTTAATAGATGTGCACTTATAATACGCATTCAATTAGTCTTCCAAGTGTGTTTTCGCTGAAAATATTGGAATATTTGAGTCCCTCAGCGTCATTTTGGCTGATGTATTCGTTACCATTCCCCCCCCTTTGAACCTCTTATATACTCTTCAATACGATCTTTATTGTGCTAAAAACCATCGCGCAATGCTGCACCTGACCGAAATAAGGGATTCACAAACAAAAAGATACTTCATTTAAATGACACTTGAATTCAATGAAACACAAGCGCTCTTTTTTGTCAACATACTTGTTTAAAGTCATTTTTTGAATGTTCACCCATGCAGCCTACCATTCTCAGATCTTAGTGATGACTTTGCAGGTTTAGGAAGGAGGCTAGCTGTAACGGGAGACTTCAGTTGATAGCTAAGTATTTCTCTGGTTCAGCTATTGTTGATTGTAGTGCGGCCGTCCAGTGTGACATTCTACGCTTCGCACAGCCACATGGTTGGGGGAAGGGCCACTTCCCCTCGACCTTTGACCCCTATGGCCCAGCAGATGGGAGGTTGCTCCCCGGTCGATCACTATCCAGCCTCGGCAGGGCCTGTGCCGGAGTCGCCGAAATGCTCGGAGTGTAGCAAAATCATCGTGTGAGTCCTCGGAGATGTTTTGTAGGCGACTGACGAGTTCTCTGATATACACTATTACAATATTTATATATTACTACCGATTGAGATGGGAACAAAACTGAATATATTTCAACCCAAAAAATACTATGGAGGGAGATAATTTGAGTAGCTTTATTACTAAGACCAGCTGTTTACTTTGCGAGAATTTATGAAAAGCCCAATGATCAAGTATAGATGGGTTCAGTTTTGACGAACTGCTATAAATTCTATTTACCAATCACAACTGTGTCTTTCATACTTTTTACATGGTTGCAATTTGCAATATAAAAAATAGTCTAAACACTAAACCGGTTTTTTATGGTCTCATTCCAAAAAAATCATTCAAAATCTTTGCTGAAATGTTCATTGTATATCAGGGGACTTGGTCGCTTGGTAGAATTGATGTCTCCTCGTCGCATGATTCTCCGGTCGTTGATTGGCATGAATCCGTCTCCTGTCTCAATTGCTTTTGATGTTAGTCGTCTTTATCTTTCTCCTGCACCTATTTTTCTTCATGTGGTGTTCTAGGATCGCAAACCTTTTTTGATTATTGATCAGTGGATGTGTTAATTGTAACTTAGTTGTAATTTTTATAATAGAATATTTTATTTTTACAACATGAGGTTTTGAAAGATTCATTTATGTTTTTACATCCCTATTGATTTTTTTGTTCAAATGCCCTAAGAGTTTTATTACCATAATTATAATGTTAATTTTTTATTTACAACTCCTCAGAATTCAAAATATTGTGTGTCCCTTCTATTATTTTTGTCGTTGCTGTTGGAAAGTCTTTTTATATCCAACTCTTTTGAAACATTTAATATGTTGAAAATATTCTTCATAATACATAGCTTATTACAATATTTATAGGGTTGGATAGTAAATAACTCATTGCATATCCAATAGAAACTTTTTGTTAATTGGTAAGTCTTTTTAGTTTTATCAACAACTTTTTCATCCTTTTAACAATTTTTGACTATTTTATTCTCATAATTAACTGCAGTTTCCTATGTAATACCTAGTGTTTGCCCATGTATTTATCTAGATGTATTGTCCTGTAGCTACAAACTTACTGTAATTTTTAAACTAAACCTTAATAATGTCCTTGAATCTTTTGATAACGTACAGTAACTTTGAACAAAACTGTCTAAATTTTACCACTAGTGGTAAAAATATGGTACCTATAATAGTGAAATGTAAGTAGTGCAAAAGATAGTTCTGATAGAAAAATACGGGTCAAAGGGTTTTTTTTGCATTTTGGTAACAGACCGAAAATGTACAATTATACATTATTTACACATAGTCTTATTTAAAATTTTATATTTTTTCATGTATTTAACTCATGAAAAATTGTACGATAGAAATGGAAAAAGCTCTTAATAACAGCTATTTTTATTTACAGATTTTTCAACCTAAATCAACTCTCATTGGACCACTTTAATATAGTCGTGATTTACATCTCTCATTTTGTTTACTCGTAAAATGGTTTACCTGCATAAATATCCTTCATTGCTGTAGTGGGTTATAGTTTCAGCTCTTAAGTTAAGCCATCTTCAGACCTATAAGGAGAAAAACATCAATTGAAGCTCGATAACTTTGTTAACGACATTCTGGGATTGTTTTTGACTCCTTGTGGGCCTGAAGTTGGCTCAAACTAGGAACCAAAACCACTCAGCAACCAATGATCACTTTATGCATATATTTTAAATGATTTTATTTATAAAACAATAATTCTTAGACTAAAAAGATTTTTTTAATTAGTTACAATGTATTCTTTAAAAACATCAAGAAAAAAGGATGATAAGACTTGCTATTAAAAGAAACACACACACTAGCAATTTTCATCCACTAAAATATGGCTATCAGTACTTTGTTATAACAATTTAATAGAAAAATCAGAAATATATTTATCACAAAAACCAATGAAAATTATTTTTCCTACAGTCACCCGACAAAGTTGGCTTCCTTGTACTGTTTATAGTACAGAAAGCTGCTAATTGCTGCATATTTATACTTTGCCGTACGGTTTATACTTTGTCGTACGGTTTATACTTTGCCGCACATCATTATTCCAACAAAACAACACAAAACATCGTGGTTCTGCACGTAATCCATGTACGATTGGAAATAGGTTGGCAACACTTAAAGATAATAATACTTTGAGCAGCTGATTGACTATTATAACTACGATTTAACCTGTCATTTTGTGTTTATAGTTTCGGTATTTCTGAACTTTCTGGACTTTTCTTTTAAACGTTTTTAAAACATTCCTACGATCTTAATAAACAAGAAAATACCTTTAAAGCATTTTTTTAGGCGCGGAAACCACTTCAAATTACAAAAACATACGGAACTATATTCTCAAAACGGGGAGCACATTTCTTGCCGAGGAAAAATAGCGGAGTGATACGGACCGGGTACTACTTTCTCTAGGGCACCTATTTGTGTTGCCAGCTGAACCTAAAAACGTGTTGTATAGTGTTTGAAAGACTAATTATTTATATACTTTATAGTGACTGTAGGAAAAATATAATGTGTAACACAAGTGCAAAAGGCCTTTGTTGCACTCGAGATCATTCTGCATTGCTCTCGTGTGCAGCAAAGTGCCACTTTGCCCACTAGTTAAACAAATAACTATTTCACAATTAAAATGGAAAAAGTCAAACATTCTCCAGGGTTTGAACAGTACAGTTAAATTTATGTTAGTAATTTTTTTCTGTAAATGCAAAATGTTACAACTATGCTTTTAACCCACATTTTGTTATTCACAGCGGAGTGTTTGTGAGGATTAAAGACAAGAACTTGCACGTTGACTGCTTCAAGTGCGCCACCTGTGGCACCTCGCTCAAGAACGTCGGCTACTACAACATCAACAACAAGCTGTACTGCGACATCCACGCCAAGCTGGCGGCCCGAGCCAACCCTCCCGGAGCTAACCTGGACCCCATCACCATCCCTCCGTAAGTCAGACGTAATTGGTGGTGAACATGGTTTGACAACAATTCTAACCTATTGTGAAACTCTAGACAAAGCTTTTTTAGTCATCCGTAAATTACAGAAAAAACCTGATTTACTAAATTACAGTGTAACAGTTTCAAGGAAAAAAGTATTTACAAACGATGAAAAACGCCCCCTTTTACATTAAAGGCTGTAGCTGTAAGTATTTGAAACCTTGACTTCTCATTTCTAATGCAGATCTGTTAGAATCCGTCCGTTAGCGGGCATCCATTAGCACGATAACTCGAGCAAAAATGATTCGATTTTGATGAAATTTGGTATAAACGTGTAAATTTACATTTATTCGAACGAGTTCGGGAACCAACATGATCGGACTATAGGAGAGGGAGCTTATGGAGGGTTTTATGGGGTAAAAATGGGTTTTTCCCATTTTTGACCCTAAAAACATCAAATTTTGCAATTTCTTTTAAAACTTTTTAGTTGGGCTTAAAAATAAAAAGATAAACAGTTTAGCATGTTGAAGCATTATTGCACATAATAGTTACAGAGAAAATTCCCAAAAAATTTAAATTTAAAATTCCCACGTTATTCTTATGAAGAATAAGTAAACTGTTGTTGTTTGCTTGTTTATGTACATATTTTGATCAAATTTGGAAAATGTATTTATTTCTTACTAATCTATTAACATAAAAAAACACTTTTTTACCTTCCCTGTTGCAGCAAACCTAAGTACTAGTTGTTAAACGAATACTATTTAGGGAATAAATGTGATATTTTTTAAGGAGACATTTTGGTGTAAATTCAATCAGGCAAATGGAAATTTGCTTAGTCTGCAGGTTTGCTGCGACGAGGGTATTTCTATATTCCATCTTCTGCTTCTGAGAATTCAATTTACATTGGGTACTACTACTATACATCTAAGTGGTAGGGTAAACAATGTAAATTTTTATTTGAGCTTCTTAGTCCAGTCAACGAAGCTGAATGAGTGGTATTGCCCCCCAGGTATTGGCCCCCCAATAATTTGGCAATTTTATTTATTATTTGCTGTGCCATATCTTGAAAACTATTAGGCCTGTATTAACCATTTTGGACTTAAATGATAGGTAATCTAATGTACTTTAAAAATGATTATGGTAGTTTTCTATGAAAAAGTGATGCTTCAGGGTCAAAATCGGACAAACGTAAAAATAGTGCAAAATTCCGCCGATTTTTAAGGTTTTTGGAGGTGATTCGGGAGGTTGCCGAGGTCGAAAATTTGGATTTAGCATCTCGGTACTATTACAAACAACGTAAGAAACCTACTACCCCATTTCATGCAAGGTAAAATGTGTTAGGTTACTGGGTTAAAAGACAAGTGTAATACAATTTTCTGCAAGTTTAATTTAGTTTTAATATTACAGTATGTTATTATGGTTACCACTGTTTGGTCTCTCAGCTTCCAGTCCGGCCCGACTTCCTCTCCCTCAATTTTTTCAACAGCTGTGCTGCATAGACGAGTATTTAGCACATTTTTATCAGTTTATATAACTTGATGTAGTATAAAACAATCACTTTACCACAATAATACTAGTTGCTCTAAATGTTTTTTTTTTCTTATGACCCATGTATCTCGTTAAGTGTTGATTTTAGGAACACGATGTAATGAGCATTATTGTTGGAAATTTAATGCTCTTAATTTTTGTATACGTACATTTTACCGCTAGAGGGCACTGTTTTCGAGATATTTACAGAAAACCGAAAAATTGTGCATTTACACCCCCCTTCCCCCCCATAACTCACACCCCATCAGTCAGGACTTTTAGTATGTTGTTCAGGAGGGTATCCCCTACAACTGTGCAAAAATCCGGGACTACACCATTTTTTCCCGCTGAGGGACATATTTTGAGCTTCGTTGACTGGGCTATCTGTGCAGACTGCAGATCAGCTGGTTCCTACTGTAATTATGCAAACAAAAAAATAGTCTTTTTCCTACAGTCACCCGACAAAGTTGGCTTCCTTGTACTGTTTATAGTACAGAAAGCTGCTAATTGCTGCATATTTATACTTTGCCGTACGGTTTATACTTTGCCGTACGGTTTATACTTTGCCGTACGGTTTATACTTTGCCGTACGGTTTATACTTTGCCGTACGGTTTATACTTTGCCGCACATCAGGATTCCAACGAAACAACACAAAACAGCGTGGTTCTATTATGCACGTAATCCGTGTACGCTTGGAAATAGGTTGGCAACACTTAAAGATAATAATACTATGAGCAGCTGATTGACTATTATAACTACGATTTAACCTGTCATTTCGTGTTTATAGTTTCGGTATTTCTGAACTTTCTGGACTTTTCTTTTAAACGTTTTTAAAACATTCCTACGATCTTAATAAACAAGAAAATACCTTTAAAGCATTTTTTTAGGCGCGGAAACCACTTCAAATTACAAAAACATACGGAACTATATTCTCAAAACGCGGAGCACATTTCTTGCAGAGGAAAAATAGCGGAGTGATACGGACCGCGGGTACTACTTTCTCTAGGGCACCATTTGTGTTGCCAGCTGAACCTAAAAACGTGTTGTATAGTGTTTTAAAGACTAATTATTTATATGCTTTATAGTGACTGTAGGAAAAATATAATGTATAACACGAGTGAAAAAGGCCTTTGCTGCACTCGAGATCATTCCGCACGCTCTCGTGTGCAGCAAAGTGCCACTTTCACCACTAGTTACACAAATAACTATTGCATCGTAAAAGGTTAAGAAAACTTTGTAGGAAAAAGTATTTAGATACGGTTGCAGCATGTTTTCTCCTTGTGTTTCAGGGGTGGTTCCATTCCTTCAGGAGCAATTTCTTCCCCTCTAGCTCATGGCGGACCAACCTCCCCTCAACCTGGCACCATGGCTCCTCTCCCATTCCATGTGAGTATTTCTTCCTGGAATTACACAAAACTGTTTCATTCCGTTATTGTGTTGTGGTGTATTGGTGTATAGGAATGGGTGGAGGATTTTATATGTGAAATGTGAGTAGATGTACATACAGTAGCATCGATTTGTTTCATTTTGTTGATGAGGGAGAGTGATAGATAAGTGTAGTAATTTAAACTCTCAGAAGCAAAAAATCAATCATTTCCTTCATGATCTGGGTAAAATTAGAAATCTCCCAATCTTAGTTCTGGGTAACCAACATCTATAATTGAGTTGTGGGATAGTATAAAACACATTTAATTAATTTCATTAAAAAAATATATATTTTGGCTGACCCAAATGGAGTACCCACATATAATGAAATTTAAAGGTGTATTTTCTAAATGAATAGGTATTTATCCTGGCCAAATTAAGTTCTGTTGGTTGGGACAGATTTACTTGGGCGCCAATCAAGACTTCAAATCAAATCAAATCAAATCAAATCATTTATTTAGCCAAAATTTTAACAAAACAAGTTGCATTAGCTAAGTCACATTATTTTTAAAAGATGCCTTACATAGATCTACAATTATACAGGTATTTACAAAATGGCTTACATTATACTACAAATTGCATCAAAGACTTATAAATGAACATTTACAATGGCATTCCTAGAGCTGATATGATTTATGAATTCCTGGACGCTGTAAGAGGTAAAATTTATCAAAAGAGATTTTAATCGTTTTTTAAATTTTGGAAGGTTTGGTTCTAGCTTAAGAGAAAGTGGAAGAGAATTGAAAAGTTTTATTCCATTGTACTGTAAGTGTCTTTTGAAAAATGTCGTAGAATGTTTAGGGATTGGTAATGTGTGTGAGTTTCGCAAAGTGTAGTGGTTTTTGACAGAAACGTTAAATTGAGCAAGTTCTTGTTTTACAAATGTTAAGGATTCAAGAATATAAATGGATGGAAATGTCAAAATTTTTGAATGAGCAAAATATTTACGGCATGATTTACGCTTCTGCAAAGAGAAAATAGTCCTCATAGCCATTTTTTGAAGTTTAAACAAAATGTTGGTCTGCTGGCACTCACATCCCCAAATAGGAACGGCGTATGCTAAGTGGGGATAAATGAGCCCATAGTATGCAGTCAGCAGTACCTCCAGATTTTCATTGTTCTTGAGGTTACGCAAAACGAAAATACCAGAGCTAAGTTTCTTTGCAATGTGTTTCATATGGCCATGAAAACTAAGTTTCTCGTCCAAGATCAATCCAAGAAACTTGACATTTGGTGTTGGATGAACTTCGGTTTCGTCGAGAAGGAAACTACTGAAATAAAAACTACATTAGACATTATATTTCAACAAACACACATGGTTTTAAATAGCACTTATTTTACATTGTATATCATAATCAAAACAACTGCATAGAAACATTTTTCCCGTGGAAAATATTTATTTGAATGAGGTTGTAAGTGTTTGGTCGTGTTTCCCGTGTACAAGGTGCAAGGGGGTGTTTTTCCCTTCCCTTTTGCAATAAGATGACGTCTGTTTGATACATTAACATACACTATTTGAAATTTGACTTTTGTATAGATAAGTTTTCCTTAAAATAAAAGTGTTTTACATTTAAAATTTCCAACTGGGTTGATATGTCATTGTAATTTGACTAAATGTCTAACACCAACACCACCCAACAAAAGGTTTTTACATCTGTGGAGAGACCATATTCAAGACTTTCCATATTTAACACATAATTATTTATTATAAGCCTCTAGTATGGATGAAAGTCTGTATCAAACAGAGAATAATAGAAATTAGAGCAAGAAAGAGTAGACATTAGACCAAGAGAATCTGAATAGGATAGAAGTTGCTGTGGGGATATGTTTGGACATGATTTTCAAGCCCCTAACTGACAAGGGGTTTTTTCCAGGCTCCGAGGTTGAAGCCTTCTCATGTCAACCCTCCGCGTTCATTTAAGGTACCGTGGATCTGATGTCGTGGCGTGAGCTTTCTAAGACGCTTTTAGATCATTTGACACTAGCGGCTTCACTTATTTCTTTATTTTCAGCATAGTTTTCAACATCTACATGTGCTTCGCCAATTCCTGCATTTCATTTTATTTCAGAGTTTATATTCATTTTTATTTTTATTTAGTTGTTTTTCTATCTATTTATCTCATAGTTAGTTGCTTACCATACTTGCTCTCTTGGTTCAATATTATTTCCCTTCAGATAAATCTGCCTAGATTTTTATTCCTAAAGCATTATTTATAATTTTCTTGTACAATTTTTATTTTGTTCTCTAATTGAACTTTTATTGTTTTCATAATATAAATGTGTATTAAGATTAATTTTAGATTAATTATGAATGTGAAAACAGTTCACACTCACAGGGATGAAGATAAACTTTGCATATTTGTTTGTAAACATTCTATAACTTACCCTTCAGAGATTGTTTGTAAATACAAATACATGACAGGTTAAACCATGTCTTGGCTACAGTGTATTGTTACGTAAAACTTCTATACATTCAACCTGATTGCTGTAGTCAGGGTTATTTATTAACAAATGGTATCCTCTTTACCTTCTAAAAATTTCTCTACACTGTAATTAATACAAATGGTCATTAAATACATTTTTTCCCTAAATTACTTTTAAAGACTCCACAAATCTTTTCAGATGGCCAAAACACTCTATAAGTTAAACTCATCTGCAATAATTGTTTGGAATATATCAATTTAACTAGGCCTAACAAAATTTGTTTCACTTACAAATCATAGAGAAAGCATACAAGGTATAATTATCCTAAGCTCTGTGTTATAAATAATTTCTCACATATTATTGTATCTCACTTCCAACTTTTAAAAACTGAATCCATTGGCAAACTTCACAAAGTATCAAAAAGAAGATTGAATATTTAACTTATTCTCTTTTACAGCCCCCATCTAGTGCGGCTCCACCAAAACCATTCGGAGCTCCGCCAGCCCCAGCTTCATTCAGTGCGCCGGCACCACCTCCATCATTTGCGCCGGCTCCTCCATCGTTTGCGCCAGCCCCATCAGTCACTTCACCCCCGTCTAAGCCCTTCAGTTCAGTGCAGTTTAACCCCCCGTCAGCTCCAGCTCCAGCCCCAGCTCCCTTCGGAGCGGCCCCCGCACCCCCGTCTTCTTTTCCTAAGACCTTACCAGGTGGGTGATTTTTCTTGGTTTTAAAATACTTACTATGTAGGTTAGGTTTCATTATTAACTTTTGGATATTGAAATAGACATCCCATGCGGACTAGCTTTAGCAAATTTCATATTTAAAAAAGGACATCTATATATATATATATATATATATATATATAGTTTAATGATAGCCACTCATTGAGTATGTTACAGTTTAAGACTGTTATTTTCTCCCATATTTTTTGTCACTATGTTAATTAATTATTGTGACATAAAAGTTACTGTGGTTTACAGTAGTCCTTTCAGTTAGCCTTGGAAAAAATTGACATTTTCAAAAGAAAATAGTAATTTACATCAGTAAAAACTATCGATGGCTCAATTATGTTTATTTTTATTATAAACTGGTTACTGTACAACTTTATCATGCAAATGAAATGTCTATATCCATCTAAAAAATATGATCATTAGGTTTACTAATCATCTACATTTTAAAATATGTTGTTTTATTTGGGTTTTTATTTTAAGTGTAGAGGTTACAGAAAAATATTTTAGTCTTCAAATTATAGTGGTAAAATTGAGAGTCATAATAACTTCAAAATTAAAATAAACACACTGTAAATTGTAAAATATGTTTTTCTGTCTTTTTCAACTCTTTGTAATTTTTTCCCAGTGCAAAAGCTTAGGTTATATTTTATTTATGTGTCATTTTATTGGTTTATAGGGTATATAATTTTAGTTTCTAAAATAGCATTCAAAAATCTAAAATCTTTAATTATCATTTTCAAAATGTATTTGTAACCAAATTAATATTTTTACCAAAGATGTGAAGCTTGAAGTTTATTTTCTCAATACCTCTTTGTTTATACTTAATTAAAGTAAAAAACTTGACTGTTTAAATGAGTTTGGTGAAACCTCTAGTGCGATACATTTTTTTATTGCGTTGTAGGAGTGTGAACACCCATTTTTAGTTATCGAGTCCTGTTAAAATAAATTGAAGGTTTAGGTTAAAAGTGTATGTAGTACTTACACATTTTCTTTACCCTAAATTTGTCTTTGCTCCATTAAAAATTCATCGAGTATTTACTTATTCATTCAATATTTTATCAACTTTTCAATCATTTAAAAATTTAGTGTGCTTTCCATTATCTACCAATTATTTTAATGATTTATAGCTAAGATGTTATAGCATTTTGCAAGTACATATTATCTTTAAGGCCATAAACATTAATTTTTTAACTAGATAAAGTGCTGACTTTGGATACAGAAGAAGACATCCCATCTCTGTGGATTTGATTTTATACTCAAAGACAACACTAATTTGTTTCTTATAAAGTGTTTGTTGAGTGTGTTTGTTGTAGAGTGTTTGTTGTAGTGTGTTTGTTGTTAAGTTATTTGTTTATTTTATTTTTAAGCTGTATTCATTAATGAAGAACATAAAGACATATTTTACAGTGATCAGAGTATCCATTCTGCATCATTACAAAGCTGGTGTTTGAGAATGAAAATGTGCGTTACAGCAGCATATTCTGTAGCTTTAATCAAGCTAGGTCGTTTAGTACCTAAAAAGCTAAAACATTAACTCAAATGGAATGTCTACTTTTTAGTACAGTATATCCATAGTGAAACAAAGAGTTAAGTGAACAGCATAGTGTTTTAGTTTAAGTAACTTGTAGTCTATAACATTAATTTGTTCCTTAGGTCAGATCCCTTCTAAACCTTTGGGCAAAAAAGGTAATGATAATATTATTCAGTGCACATCCCCTGCTCTTCATCCCAAGGGTTTGCAAAATATTATAAATGTTTTAATGCACATTCTTAACATATTTACTAGTTTTAGTTTTGCATTATACAATTTCAAATATGTTGTATGCACATCAGCTCTTCGACATTATATTTTATCCATGTTTTTGCCTCCTGGATTGATAAAGAGTAAATGATAGGTTAAATACCTTATTTACGTCTTCAATCCAAGTCGTCTTTTTTGATGACTATAGTTTCGGGGCAAACAGCCCCATTGTCAAATCTTCTGTATTGTTAATTACTGTTAAAGCATTTGTCATCGTTGAATTCCACATTTATACACACACTGACACATGATACTATAAATGTTTCGTATGTCAGTGTGTGTATACATGTGGAATTCAATGATGACCAATGCTTTAACAGTAATTAACAAGACAGTAATTAACACTTGCAAGAAAAATTATTCTGTTTTAGGGTATGGTAATCTTCCGTTTGAGGGAAATGGCCTTGTTATATTGTAGTTACTATTAAATAATAAAAGACAGATCTCAATATTATAATATCTTAAAATGAACATAGTACCCTTCTGTGAAATAAATGTTATCAAATTAACTTTTACTTGTTCGTTTGTCATATTTTTGTAAGAGGAAAACATATTTTGCCAGCCCTTGGGGTTTCTTGAAGAACTGCTCATATGCTTTTTGAGAGCTGATTTGAACAAAAAGAAATTTATTGTGCCGAGTAGAAATTTTACATCATTATAAAAAAATACATTATAAAAATTTTGTCAATGTCTTGCAATCTAATTATTTTTATGTTCTTTCCAGGCTATTCCTCTTTCAACGCCAAACCAAGGCCATTTTCCATGGTTTTATAAACTAAATATAGAATAGAACTCTAACATAAAGTTTGTCAAAACAGCTCTCAAATATAAATATAATGCTTACAATTTTCAGGCTAGTAATATTTTAAATTGCTTTTAAAGCTGTTATTATGTTACAGTTATATTATAAACTAATTAGTTTTTTATAAGGAAATTGCTTCAACTGACCTGCTTAGCTGTTAATCTTTTTTTTTCTTTCAAACATTCATGCTTCAAACTTCTCGGCAGTTCTCTAATGCTTTGTTTTTCTGTCTCCCTTCTCCTTAACTTTAAATTCTTCTACTAACATTTTCTAAACTATACTAACATTCTCTAAACTCCTGTACTATTATGTTTGTTTGCATGCTCTTTTTGCTGTGTTTGTACGATTTTGGTTATGTGGCTCTCCTTTGAATTTTGGCCACAAAATCAAAATTATAGGTCATAGTGAATCCTTCCTTCCCTCCTCCCAATCATTCCCTCAAAAAACAACGGGGCAAGTTGGAGAAATAGAGGACATGACCTGTTGTATGGATAAATCAAAGAGAATGTCAGTTTGCTCGAGTGAGGTTTGCAATTTGTCAGACAAAAGAACCTCTGTACAAACAATGGCACCTTTAGCTGAAGACCCAGTGAGGGCATCACCAGTTCCCTTTAGAAGAGGAGAAGTGGTTAGCGAATCTTATGGCACAGCTGGGCAAGAAACTTTAAAACAGACTGAAAACTTTGAAACTTCTGACGAAGGAAATGTTCATGTAACGAGAAAAACAAAGGTGGAAGAGTCCTTTGTGAGGTCTCAAAAAATGTACACTGCTGAGATAAGCTCTTCACAATTGTCTCACATGAGAGCAGCATCTCCTGAGCTGGAGCAAATAATGACAAGGAAACAAGTTCATCAATCGTATGAAACTTCGAGACTCACTCCGCAGCCAAAGCCACCTCAGTCGGAGCGTTGTTTGACTCCTGAGATTGAGAACTTGATGGAGAAACCTCATGGCAGTTGGTCACCAATGCCTCCTGCATGCTTTGTTCGTCCAATCAGTCCTCACGCTACCATCAGCTTCCCTCCGGACGTACCGAACATGCATCCTTCAGTTGCCCAGCCTCGCACTGCAACTCCGGAACAGTTCCAAGGAGCTAGAGAAACAGTGGAGAGATTTGTGGATCATTCCAAACATGTTCAGCAGACACAAGCAGTGACTCAGTCCTACCAACACCAACAACAACAACAGACATTTACTCAACAGCAACAACAGTACACACCTAGGTTTGATATGAGTGAGAGCTTTTCTGCCTACAATGTGAAAGCAAGTTCAGGCAATGGTTACAACAACGGAAACCCCAGTCATGGTCAAAATGGTGGAAATAACACAGGTAACAATGGAAACCATGGGAATAACAATAACCCAACAAACCATCATAATTCAGGTGGTAATGGCAATGGAAACCCAGGAAATCACAATGGCAATCCTGGAAACCATAATGGAAATGGGAATCCTGGGAACGGTTCTGGAAATGGAAATCCTGGAAGAAATGGTTCAAATAATGGAAATGGAAATGGCAGTGGCAATGGAAATCCTGGAAGAAATGGCTCTAACAATGGGAATGAGAACCCTAACAAGGGAGATGGAGGAAACCCTAATGTTACAGAGCCTGATTCAGAAGCAAAATATAGTAGGAAGTCTTCAGGGCAAAGTGAGAAATCAAGAAAATCCACCACTGAAGAAGAAACTACTCGGAGGGTGTTTACAGATTTTGGTGGACCACAAGTTATGACTTCGCTTAACGTAGAATCAACAACTGAGGGTGGGGTGGAAAAGACTTCAGTTACAAAATCTGAAAAAATGGAATACTCTTCATGCGAGTTTGAATCTAGTAGAAAATCCACAATACTTAATAAAGAAAGTGGGAAGAGTGAAGGGAGCCAATCAACCTCTGAAGAACCAAGAAAACAATCATACCCTAAGTTTACTGCTGAAGCCTCTGTTGATGAGGAGGAGACAGTTACAAAATCCCAGGTGGAGCAAATTATAAAACAAGAACTGAACAAAGTGTTTCAAATGGCCCAATCAATGGATAAAACCAATCTGAACCAGATGTACGACCAGCAATCTCAACAATCATCTCGCTCAGTTGGTGAGGTTGTTAAAGCTACTGAACAGTCAAGTCGTAGAGTTGACCAGTCTGTTTCCTCAAGTCAATATCAGGAGAAAAAATCTTTTTCCGGTGAAGCAATAACAAAAACAGGGAAGCTCACATCGGGTTTGACTATTGCACCTGAGCGCACCTTCACCCCACAGCCTTTAGAAAGTAACTATCCATTATCTTATCAGAACATACCAACAGATTTCCCCCCTCCAAGATATCCTCCAGGAGAACCAAAACCTGACGTTAAGCCAGGTTATCTGCCTGTAACTGGAAGTAGAGATTCACCTTTGCTACAGGCCTTGACTATAGCCTCAGACCGCCCATACTCTCCTCTACCTTGTGCTACTATAGCTGACACACCTCCTTTCATATCAGCACCAAAACAGCAAGCTAGCTCAATGCTTGAAGCACTGACAACAGCTCCAACAGCTCCTTTTGCTTTCGGTGAGTCTAATTTAGAATTTGAGGCAAGTACAAGAGTTCAAAAAACAACCTCAAGCAAACACGAATCAATCCAAAAGTTCGCTCCAAAGCCAAGTCAAGGTGCTTTCAAACCTATTCCAGCTGGTGAACCAGACTCCTACAGTAAGTACGCTTCTCTCGGCCAGTCTGTAGAACGATCGACAGTGAAGTCTTATCAGCCAGTAACAGATGAACTTAAATCAGCTTTCAAAAGTACTTCCAAAGTACAATCGCAAAAAACTGAATCTGAAATCCAACAGTCGGTAAAGACTCATGAAAGCAGTTTATCTGCTTCAAGAATCGACCGTCCTCTAACTCCTTCAGGACTGCACCCACCAGATCTTCTGCCATACTATCAGAGAAATATCGGAGAGATCCCACTTGCTCATAGGTCTAATTCACCGGTTCCTCATCAAATCAAAGCTCCTGAACTAAAACCACCTAGACCAGATTCAGTGCCACATCCGACAACAGAAAGACGAGGTAGTGTGAAAGCCTTGAGTGAGGCATACACACAGCAGATAGAAGCGTTGAACAACAAGTTCCAAACAGCAGACACCTCCAGCTCTGTATCCTACATGAGTGCAGGTGCTTACAGCAGCGGGTCCGTCACAAAAGCTTATTCTTACGAACAGGATCACAAGTCAATGGATACGATGGGCTACCAGCCGTCACCTCTGGCTGGAAAGCGAACACCGTTAGCTGGAGAAAGAACGATTCCAAAATGTAGCTCGCCAGTGATGGGTAAACTCGACCATACAAAACAAGTTTTCAAACCTTCAGTACCGTCCTCATCTTTTCAATCTCCCATCGCTGATCAGGCCAGTCTAAGACAAGCCCCACCGTTCTTCACCCAGGAGAAACAGAAACCACCAACTCCTTGGGTAGTCGTGAAAGAGGATAAAGAAAGTGTAAATTCAGCTTCCTTTAAATTGCCTCTTCCTAAGCCGTCCAAACCGACCCTACCTACCTTCCCCATTGTAAATAAAGCCCCAGCTTTTCCTGAGCCCCCTAAGCCACCCTCAGTACTCCCGGATGCAGGGCCTGGCGCTGCTAAGGGTTCGACCACCGCTGGAACCACGGCACCGCGCCGAGGCAGAGGTGTGCTCAACGCTGCAGTCGGCGCTGGCGGTCGGGTCCCTCTCTGTGGCAGTTGTAACAGTCAGATAAGGTAAAGGGCTGCAGCTTCCGCACTCGGAATGGCTTTTGGACCTTCTTTGGTGTTTAATTTGAGTGTAGTTTAACATTGTACATAACGTTTATCTCTAATCTACTTTAACTTTGTTATGTGGTTTCAAACTAAGTTTAACAAGAGTTAAGAACTGTGTTAAGTTCAAGTGTTTTGTGTTTTTTTATCTTTTAAAAACAATTTAAGGCGTTGTTTTGTAAGTTGTATTTTAATTTGTCATAATTTGTAACATATGTTTTAAATCGAACTTTTTACTGTTCACTACCTATCTAATTTTTATCCAAATATTTAAAATAGTCTATTGTTTAGTTAGGTATACACAATATTTTATCGGTTATGTATACACCAATAAACCGTAACTTTAAGATGAATTTGTAAATAAAGTATATACGATTTTTATTTTAAACTAAAATAACCACTCCATTAGTCAACATCAACAGATCTACACAGGGGTTGTGGCCTTCATATAATCATTTCAACAATATATCTATAGAAATATGGTTAATTGCAATCCAATTCATTATTCTATGTTTAGGTAATCTTTAAAAATATTCCAATTTGTATACCTACATGCAAAATAGATTATTATGAGCGGTTCACCCTTTTATGTATACTTTTCACCGTTCTATTTAAGTGAATGTATGAACAACAAATTTCCAATGACTATTTGAGTTATAGTTTGTTGTGATATTAATGCTTACTTACTATAAACCTTTTATTAATTTTGTTCTTAAAACTTGCATGTATGAATGTTGCTAAAGAGATGATTCTTCCTTGTATACAGATATGGGTAACTATTAAAATCTAAAATCAAGTCAGTCATATTAAAAAAACTAGTCAATACGATAACTAAATTTTTTGTAGCTACAAAAAGTTTTTAAGCATTTTTACAAGTTTTTAAATTTGTATTTTCCCATCATTTTCATATCTCAAAGACAATCTTTAAGTTCATCTTCATATAGACAAGTCCCAACGACACTTACGAGACATGTGTCCAAAATTAATCTCAAAGACCTAATGTATGTGTAATGTATGACTTAGATGTACCTTTAGTACATCTAACAAATGTTGCATGGATAATTTGTTTTACTTAAAAAAATATAATTTGTAGAATCATCTGTTTACTGACATTCACCAGTTTTGTGTTGTGTTTTGCTAATTAACTCGCATGTACAGCAGCTGATTCAGTCACTTCTACAGTGTGCGACAAATTGAGGAACGGAGACAAGTATCCAGTGTGCCACATTTGTGACAAGGAGATCACCAGGTTTGTGTTTCCATAGAGTAATACAAGAAATTATACATACAAAAGGGGATATAATCCCTTAGTTGCCATTAGCTGTTTGGGCTATTAATTAACAGCTGTGTCTAAGGAATGTCGGCCTTAGTCACTAACAAGACTACAAGATCGCGCCACACATCCTACACTCATCTCCATTCATACTTGGCTTAAAATACCTACATTGTATGGTCGCCATTTCATAAGAATGTATTAAAGTATTAAAGTATTAAATGGTACCTCCAGAGATTAAATAAACATACTTTAGGTAAAATATCTAATTTCATAACTTTCACATCCAATTTAAAAAACACTTGTACAACCAATAAATTAGTAGCGTTTAGGAAATGCTAACAAAGTAAAGATTTTTATATTAAACCTGTGACGACCAATCAATATGTTTTTCCCAAAACTCCATTTCCTAATATGAAAGTCCCAGGGGAAAATATCAACATTGATACATTTTTGACATAGTCCAGAGTCCAGAGATTGTAATTGCAAATGCGATGCAAAGAGTGTTAGAGAGGTATTTAATCTCTCTGTCTTGGTCCATGAGAACAGGTATTTAATATGTTATAATAGTAGTATAAATAGATAATACAGTAGGTTGGAAAGATTTTAATTCACCCAACCGTGGAATGTTCATCCTTCTTTTGAACATGGACACTTTTTTGTCATGTCTCCAACAGTTTTCTTCCAAAGCCCTTCTACATCTTTGAAAGCCATGAGAACAGGTCTTGAGTTTGCTATAGAATAAAAAATAGGGCCATGGTAATCCTAATTAGATTATTTTTGCATAAACTAAAAAACAGAGAGAAACCTAAACTTAGGTATTATACAGATGAACTGATAGGCGTAATTATTTTAATTTACTAACCCTAACAATGTCGCCTTACAGAGGGCCTTTCATCACTGCGTTGGGAAAGATCTGGTGTCCGGACCACTTTGTGTGTGTCAACGCCCAGTGTCGTCGGCCGCTGCAGGACATTGGGTTCGTAGAGGAGGAGCAGGGACTGTACTGCGAGTACTGCTTTGAACAGTACCTAGCACCATCCTGTAACAAGTGCAATGCCAAGATCAAGGGCGTAAGTAATACATTGAGATAAGGAAACTTTGAAAATCATTTAGGCGAGTGAAGCTTTTATAGTTTGCTTTTGCGAGAAAACATAATTGAAAGTGTAAAGCTGAAATGTGTTAGAAAGAGTCATATCGTAAAAACAGGGTAGCCTATAGTTATTTGAGCGGAGCGAGCGAAGCGAGCGAAGCTCTTTGGGATCAACTTCAATGCAAACAATATAACACCATCACTCAATAACGGCTGAACACATTTCAGCCAAACTTAACAAGACTACTTAGACTAATAATGAGATGGTTTGTAAACAAACAAATTTCAATTAGATAATGCTAATGCAATTTAAAACGAACTTAAAAATTCAAATTTTTTACATTAGGCTTATGGGACTAAAGTAGCTATGACAGTTTTTTTGTTTACAAGAAAATTGTAAACAAGAGAATCATAAGGTATTTCTGAACTTTCTATACTTTTCTTTTAAACGTTTTTAAACCATTCCTATGATTTTAATAAACAAGAAAATGCCGTTAAAACATTGTTTAAGGCGCGGAATTCACTGAAAATCGAGAAAATATACGGAACTACTTTCTCAACTCAATGCGCGGAGCATAAACAAGGAGCGGAGGGATACGGACCAGTGACTACTTTCTTGGGAACCTATTTGTGTTGCCAGCTGATTAGAAACAGCCAATGTAAGAAATCAGGATTTAATAAGCGATATATCGAACCGCATCGAAATCGATATTTAATCCGATAATACATCACAGATTATTTTATGTTGAATTACATCGACGGTGCAGTAAGTTATTACACTTATTAATAAAACGCAGATTGGACACTGATCTAATGTAGGCATGGGGGGAAGAGGTAGGTCGGGGTTTAAGAGTATTCGTGACTACATTAAGTGTTTTGAAGTAAGGTTAGATTAGGGAGGTAAAGTGTAGGTTATAGGTAGGTGATCGGGTTGTTTATTTGTGTTGCACCATATAATTGTTATCTTTTGGAATAGTTGGTTAAACGGGGAAACGGTTTCAAAAATGTTTGCATATGGTCTTAACAAATTATCTACTGTATTCTAGCATTGAATTTATATAAAGTCAATGATTCTAGCAAATTACTACATAAAAACCAAAAGAAAAGAACATTTGGATTTGGAATTTTGCCCATAGCAAAACTAACATATAATTTATGAAATGTGAAAAGTTGTACATCATTAAATGCTATTCTGTAATATTAATAATTGTTCGGCAAATCCTCATTTTAATGGCTCTGCTGAAAATGGAATCTGCATTTTGTGAAACAGTAATTTGGTAACAATTCAGTAATTTCAAATGTTGATAACAGTAGCGGAGGCCGTGACAGTAGCCTATCCCATATAAATACTGTGTTATTTGATTGCCAAGCCACGGACTATACATACGTCCAGTTACAACCGTAATAATAAGTAAATAATTAATTACCTGGGCTTATAGAAATACACTTTTAACCACGGTATGGATAATTGTCTAGGCCTGTCCAGAAGTAGGCTACTAATTTATAAATATATTATCTACATTGTATATTTAAGGCATGTCTTCCCTTCTTATTATTATTCTGTTTTCACTTAAATCAGCTGAGTGCGATGTTTACTTAAATTACTTATGTTTAGGCCTACATTTCAGCCATCTAATTTTATTTTTCACCACACTATGATGTTTTTGGTTGTATTACATACGTTAATTGGTGGCTGAAAGTTACGTTTTGCTGGCCTTGCCAGCTGTCATCGTAATTTGGGGACCGAGCAGGTTTTTACAGGCCGGGGCCGCAAAATCAGCTGTCCGCTTACTTACTTAAAACATTAATGCATTTTAAATACACAATCAAAATCCATAGCATTGCAATAGAATTGTGTTATTGTCACCGTTGCCTAGCAACTATTTATTTTTATTTTTGCTGATTCCTCAAATTATTTCTTCACATAACCTTAAAGTTGTAGTTGTGTTGACTATCAGTGTGCATTATTATAGTGGTGAATAGTGGTAATAGGGTATAGTGTGGTGAAAAATAGCGTTCGTACCACGGGCCGAAATGGTTTTGCAGCTCTCGATCGATTTAAGTTCTCGACTTCGTCTCGAACTTAAAAACTATCTCGAGCCGGCAAAACCTCATTTTCGGCCCTAGGTACGAAATATACTATTTCAATAAATTAGTCTTTTTGCAGTTTTACACATTGAAATACATGATTGATAATTCAGTTCATTTAAGTCTTTTAAAAGTGTTTTACATTTGAGTCTTGCATTGAAATAGCCCTACATTTTTCGTAGGCCTATGTTTTATCTTGGACTATCGATACAACTAGACATTCCATCCCCATGTTAAATTTATAGCCAGCTTTTTCATCAAAATCTTCTGTATCCAATGGTCAATGGTTTTATTAAAATGCCGTCTCTAAATCGTCCCAATAATGGTAGAAGACCTACATTCCAGTTAAACTTACATTGCAATCATATCAAGAATACTTGGTATTAACAATCATAAATTATTTTAAGCAAAGAAAGCTGAGTTTAACCGATTGCAAGGGTTGAAATGAAGACCAATGTTTATGTTGCACAGTTGAATTTAAATGTCAAATTTCCCCTCCTGATGTTATACTTTAATACTCGTTTTTTAAATAGTTACTGTTTTCTTATACTTAAATACTTTAACCGATTGTAAGGGTGGAAAATGAAGACCAATGTTTTTGTTGTAGGCTACAGTTGAATTTGAACGTTAAATTTTCTTTCTCTTTTTTATACTTTAATGCCCTTTTTGGATGTTAATATCAGATTCCAACTACTGTAATATTTTCCTGGTCAAAACTACCATAATGCACTTCTGGAAGAAGTGTCTGAATAACAAGATGTAGTAAAAACAAATTTGAATTATTATAATTTTAATCAATAAAACAAGCATTAATACATCTATTGACTTTTTTACATTTAGTTACTTATACAAATATCAAATCACATTTGTTCCGCTCAACTGGCTTTCACCTCTCTGAAAGCAACCCTAGTTAATATCTGTCATGCATATACAATAAAGGATTCCTATGTAAAATTCTTTTTGTACCTGTTCTACCTAACCGATTTTTATGCTTGACGTCATTCAAGTCGTAATGATTGAAAGGGACAAATGGTAATTAAAAAGGTAATTTCGTTTAGGGCTTCTTTAGGTCCCCCTAGTCTTTGGTTTATCTCTAGAGGGTACTTTGAAAGGTCCAGTGTGGTTGACCAATTTTCTTTATAATGGTTTTAAATTTGAATTGTATTTTAACAATTGATTACGGATCAGTTGATTTTTTAAACCACAATAAGATGTAATCAGGAGACAAAACAGTTTATGGGAACAAACTTTTTAAAATACGTTACTTTAATCTATTCAGGTATAGCCTTATTAAAAATCACTCTTAATGCTAATAAAAATAATGTGTGTCCATATTTACAATACATGTTGTTGTCTTACTGTATTCTATAAATTTTTATTTTCTTTCAGGACTGTCTGAATGCCATCGGCAAGCACTTCCATCCTGAATGCTTCACATGCGCATACTGTGGCAAGCTGTTTGGCAACAGTCCATTCTTCTTAGAGGATGCCCTTCCATACTGTGAAGCAGGTGAATAATTACAGATAATTTCTGTTTGCTAGTAATTTTTGTTGTTAATGTTGGATGTAAATTCAGAGTCAATTCAAATTACAGTCCTACTTTTTTTAATTTATGATTTTCTAACTTCCACATTTTTTTTTAATATTGCATTATTTTTTCCAGAAAATGGAAGAATTCAAAAAGTTAGAAAGACATACAGAGTAAAAAGAGGGATAAGGTTGCAGCTACCTCCAAGAGGTCTCAAAAACTACCAAAATTGACCCCTGTATTAACTACTAATTCCTGCACACTCATGTTTTCCCACGTTTCTTTACTTCTCATGATAAACTTTGATAACTTATCTTTTGATAGCATTTATTACGGTACAGTATATGGTTCAAGATTAGCAATTGTAATTATAGGCATATAAAAATGCTATGCCATATATTGTTGATCAATTAATGTAATCCATAAAGTTAAATAATACCAGCAGATTTGAAGAGAACAAAGTGTAATTTATCCAATTTCTTGTATCTTGGTAAATATATAAGAATCGATGTTGTGTTGTAAGTTAAGCTTATCTTTTAATTTTCAGATTGGAACGAATTGTTCACAACAAAGTGTTTCTCTTGCGGATTCCCCATAGAAGCCGGAGACCGTTGGGTCGAGGCCCTCAACAACAACTACCACAGCCAGTGCTTCAGTTGTACTGTAAGTAGAGTATTTCTTGAAATATTGTACTACAGTTGACTCCCTCTTATTCGGACACCTTTTAAGACTTCGGAGATCTTAATATGTGTATTTTTGTAATTTTTTCTTAAGCTAAGTTTGCCCAGATGTTACAGCAGGCGGATAAAATATTTATCATCTGATGCCAGACTCAACAATTTATTATTAATTATATATGTTTAACTTTGTAACTGGTCACACTACTTATAAAAATGACCAGTTTAAATTTCTCAAAAATTTTTATGATTGTTAAATGTTTTGTGATATGGGAAATAAATAAATTTATTTACTCATTTTAACCGGACATCGGTTTAACCGGACTACACTGAGCGGAAATTACATCTCTTTAACCAGAAGATTTTTATCAGCACATCGGTTTAACCGGACTAGATCGGCCGGAAGTGGGCCGTACTGAAACAACTGTTCTCGTGGGAATGATTTGAGACCAGTGATCTTGTGTCTAAATACAATGCTCTCCTAAATTAAAGTCAAATATTTGGATTACATAACAAGTTTTTGGGGACGTCGGTTTAACTGGAAAACCCGTTTTCCGGACTAGCTTTGGTCTCGAGTAGTCTGGATAAGAGGGAGTCTACTGTATGACCAAATTGGGAGAGGAGATAGATAAAAAATAAAATACTAAAAGGAGATCAATTGGTTGTTGAAAAATATTATTATTATTTGAGACGGGGAAGCCTATGTGAGTATTTTAACGCAAATATGTTTGAAGGATGAGTGTAAAATGGAGTGAGATGATCGCAAGCTTTGTTACTGACTAAAATCAGCTGTTTCATTAGTCAGAATCATTTATTAAAGCACAATGATCAGGGACAGGTGGATCTAGAACCTATTTGGATCTAGTTTAGATTGGATCTACTTGGCAACCTTTTCAGGCAAGCACTATAACCACTCAGCTACCCGACCGTTCAGTGGATAAAACATATTTGAGTTTTGAGGGCTAATGGGTAGGTTAGTAGATTTGGAAATTACTAAGTGTTCTTGTCGTTTAATTGAGGAAATATTTAATTGTTTGAAGTTGCTAGTTAAAATTGAGGGTTTGTAAGTATTTACAGAAACCATTTAGGAAAGCCCTTGTATTTACTATTTTAGAACCGTTATAATAATATTTGTTTGCCTTTCGCAGATGTGCAAGAAGAACCTGGAAGGGCAGAGTTTCTTCGCCAAAGGCGGCCGACCCTTCTGCAAGAACCACGCTCGTTAAGTCCCCTCATCACAGTCTAGTCTACATCTGTCATCTAATCATCGATTATATATTTATTTTAATATAGCTAAGGTGTATATGAACTAGAGTATTGTTAAGAAAAGTTTTTCAATTTTTCAAAGTTACCTGCCCAGTATACTTCTGAGTGAATACTCCTCACTATATTGCCCAACTTTTACAAATAACCAAAGATTGTTTACGGTTTACGGCTTTGCCTTAACTAAATAGTTTTGTTACAGACACTGTAATCTTGCTAACCGATAGGTAAGGTCATAAAATGTGTATTTACCTAAACATTTTGTAACTCATTATTGAATTTTGATCTCTAAAAAGGACGATTTGAGGACAATGTACATAGTTTATTGTAAATTGTTAGTTATTTCATCGATTGATAAGTATGTAAATAATTAAAGTGCCTAATAGCTTTCTACACAATCACTTACAAATATTTTTCTATCCATCAACACGTAATAGGAACATTGCACATTTTAAATATAATATTTTTAAAGATCAGCATTGCACTTAACATCCTATTTTCATGCGATAGAATGAACGTAAGTGTTAAAATTTTTACAAAGAAAATCTAAGGACATTTTACATCCAAGGACATATTTCCTGTAAGGTGTGTTCGTATCTTGCTTTGCTTTTGTCCATTGCTTGATAAAATATAGAGCGGTCCGCATTAGTTGGTAGAAATTTTACATTAAATGGAATAGTGAGAAAATGCATAATATTGAACATGTTCCTTGGTTCAAAGACAAACACCTTTTTAATGTAGAAACCACAAATATTTTGCCAACTAGTGCGGAGAATCACTAGCAATTGTTGTTATGGAGTGTTAAAGATAGTGTTACGTTTAGGTAGCCTTTATTAACCGTTGCTATTAAGTTTGTCAATGTGTAAGACAGGGTAACATTATGTAATAAATGTTCATTCAATAAAGTCAGTATTCTTTAGTGTGGTTTTATTTATTTGAACACTTTAAAACTAATGGTTAAGTTGCTCAGAACGTTTTCCCAGCCGTTTTTTTTTCACATTTTTGATCCAGTCCATCATTATACAAATGGGAAAGTACCCTAATAAATACAAGCTTAATGAATCAAAATTTAGTTAAGAAGAATCATGGATCACTTTTGTCCTCTCTCCATTGATTAGTTAAAAGTGGCAAAATCTGCTCTCTCTGTTGGAAAGGTGGTGGTACTAGTTTCTGAATGAGTTTCACATCTTTAGATCCTGGATGTTTTATTGTAATCATTAAAAAACAGTGTACTTGACAAACCCTCTAGAAATAATTTAAATTCATAAGAACTGTGAATAATACAAAAATACCCAAAACGGTAAATAGTAAATACTACAATAAACGGCCAGGTACGCAATTGCAGAAGGCAGCTGAGCCAAAGGGGCCTCTACTCAAGATTAAAAAAATATATTTGTCCTTAGTAAATGTTTATAACTCATCTTTTCTTGTATTGGAATGGAATTTAAATATTAACAGATGTTACAATAAAAGATAGCATAGAAATGCTATCCAATACATGAAATGCTCCAATTCAAATCCACTGCCTTGGTGTGTTGCAATGTCACACTGGGTCACCGATATGGCTGTTGCCATGGTAATAACAGGAATTGCAAACTTATAAACATAAACATTGCGCATACGCTCCATTAAAAATTAGTGCAACAAATGTTTCAGAATGCTGAACTGTGTTGGTGACTTTGTGCCGTGTATTAGAGGAGACTATGTCGATAGTGTAAAATAATCCATCTTATCATTATGTAAACAAATCTTTCCTCTTTAAGGATAAAATGCTGGGAACTTTAAGAACCACTATGGGGCAGGTCCACAAGGGAATAAACCGTATTTCTCTTTGGATGAAACATCTAGACCAAGACCTTCCTTTAGACACCTCTATACCATGTTTCCACACCAATCCTTTATTTCAATTTAGTGGATACACACAAAAACCACTTTACAAATACTGATCTTCAATTAAATGTATAGATCCTTTTAAAAAGTTAAGCAGTTAGAATTAACACATTTATATATTGTGCACAACGAAGAATATGGAATTACTCAATGCTTTGCTTCAATTCAATACTCTCAGCTCATTTTTTAAAAACTTTGTAAAGTCACCTGATTAGTTTAAATCAGCAGCTACTAGGAGGTCACGAATTGTGGATATTTATAGGCATACACTGTGGATGCGATACTCCCTCGTGTGGATTAACGTCCGCACGAGTGAATACTACGACTATCCGCAGTACTATCCTGATAATTAGACCAATTCGTATATACCAAGGAAAAATGTGGTTCGGATTCCACTATAAGCTGTAGGTCCCTTAGTTGCCATTAGCTGTTTGGGCTATTAATTAACAGCTGTGTCTAAGGAATGTCGGCCTTAGTTACTAACAAGACTACAAGATCACGCCACTCATTCTACACTCATCTCCATTCATACTTGGCTTAAAATACCTACTATGTATGGTCCCCATTTCAATGAAAAGTATTAAAAGTATTAAAAAGTATTAAAGTATTAAAGTTTTTACAGGCATAAAATCTCATTATTTTGCAATAGTATGGTGAGCAATTTGACATTTCTTGATTAAAACTGTAGATAAGAAGTTATTCTGAAGTGAACATTTTGAAAAGGCTTTTACAGGGAAAATAGTGCTAATGAAAGTATAAGTACCTCTGTACCTATGCAACTTGTCTTATTATCACTTTTGTTAGTAAATTTTATTGTTTAACCTCATCTAATTTCATTTAATTCCAACCTTAAATTGAATTATGCTGTCAATATTGTTGGTTCATAAATTGGGTCTTTAAAACCAGCATATAGATTTTTCAAATTCACACCTGCCCATATAATGTTTTGCTTGTGTCATAGCTTAAACTTCTGTTATACCAAAATGACGACATATTTACTTTTTCTCATATATTATTTGATATTTTTTTTGTGTGAAAAGGAAAAGTGCAATTTCAGTTCACTACCAAACTATTTTGTCCTTTAGGTTGGTGATACAGCTAGCTGTAGTAACGACCAATCATTAGTAGTACCGTGATAAGGATGTGTGTGATTCCTTATTTATTTTTTATCTTTGTTTCTGGATAGAACCCGCAACCTTCCCTAGTAAATTGGCAACCACTATAACTACCCATTCAGGCTATATAAGAGCTAAATGAGAGTAAAAATTACAAATTTGTAGTTTAGCAAATATGTAGCCTACAACCATTAAAAAAATAATTTTATCTCCTCCCAAACCCTTCTCACCTTTGCTTCCTTATGTCAGTTGTCTAGGCAAAATCTTTTACCAAGTATTTGTCATAGTCAGATGTAAACAACGATCACATTAATAACAATCTAATGTGATCGACATCTTGGTCTTATGTGATTGTTGGGTTATCACGTTGTAATTCACACACAAGGTTGGTAAAGAAAAGTGGTAATTTGTTTATGTAGGGTTTTCAACTAAACTCTCATTTGTTTAGCTATAAATTATTGGTTAGTCTGAATAGTTATTGGACATTTAATGAATGATCTTAAGTAAAAAACCAGCTTATCATAGTCAGTAACAAGCAGTCATTTCATCCTTCACTAATTTTGCCTTAAAATATGTACTTTTATGTGGTTGGCGTCATAAAAATCAAAACAAACATCACAGAAAAAGTAGAAAAATTGAGTTTCAAAATACAGACTTGAAATTTCATGCAAGCTTATGCTTGAGATCTGAACTTGGATTATGCATGCTTAATTGTTACAGTAATTATGTTGGTTCTGCTCTGAAGTTTTTTGAGTAAATGGAACTGTACTTATTTGGCCGGTTCATACAGGGTTTTGATAATTGAATAGTAATTATTTGAGTAAAAACTACTGAAAATCATTTTAGTTACACAATGTATCATGATTCCATTGTTTTATTGTTGCAACTTCATTAATTGAACGACTCAGTTTATGTCACAATTATTTTGAGGCTTGTAGAGATCATCTAAGCTAGCTGAAATTTCAATAATTATTAGTTGAACTATCAGGACTCTCTGCAATATTATGAACATTTTTGGATTATTATTGATTACAGGTAATTTTTTTGTCCTAGAGTGAGCCCAGAATCTTTTAGCGAATTTCCCATATAGGGAATAAGCTATTACCGTAGTACTCATGGTAAGACCTGGACGCGGGACCGATTTTTTTTTTTCGTTTTGAGGTCCCTAGAGGCCAAAAACACCATCCGTTCAAATTCATATTTATATATATATATATATATTTATATATATATATTTATATATATATATATTTATATATATATGTGTCCGTTAGCACGATAACTCGAGCAAAAATGATCCGATTTTGATGAAATTTGGTACAAACGTGTAAACCTACGTTTATTCGAACGAGTTCGGGATCCAGCATGATCGGACCATGGTAACGGGGGTTTACGGGGGGTTTTATGGGGTAAAAATAGGTTTTTCCCATTTTTGACCCAAAAAACATAAAATTTAGCAATTTCTTTACAAACCATTTTTGTAGAGCTTAAAAAAACAAATAATTTAGTATATTGAAGCGTTATTATGCGCCTAATGATTACGGAGAAAATTCCAAAAAATTGTAAATTTAAAATTCCCATGTTATTCTTATGGAGAATAAGTAAACTGTTGTAGTTTGCTTGTTTATGAACATATTTTGATCAAATTTGGAAAATGTTTTTATTTCTTACTAACTATTAACATTTTACAAAAAAAACAGTTTTACCCTCCCTGATGCAGCAAACCTAAGTACTTGTTAAACTAATTCTATTGGAATCGGGAATAAATGTTATATTTGTAAGTGGACATTTCAGTGTAAATAAAATCAGTCAAATGGAAATTCGCTTAGTCTGCAGGTTTGCTGCGGCGGGGGTATTTTCACATTTAACTCAGGCTAGACCTAGGGGTTGCGGCATTATCACTTAGATCAAATCTATTTTGGTGATTTGGCAGAATTTGCACCCAGGACCTCATTCCTACGCTCTACCACTACACCAGCTCCCCCCTTCACTGGCACATATTAATGCACCACTGAATTACATCCAACAGTATTTTATGATAATCAATTTATTATTTTGTTTAAGCTCCAGAGAGTTTAAAAAAGTGTTGTTTAGGTTTTGTGAATTTAAAATAGTTTTCAAGGGTCATGTTTTCAGAGTGTATTTTAAAATCTTGAGGGCTTATATTTTTATAATTTGACCAAGGAAAGGAAAATTAAATCAATAACACTATAACAGTTTATTTAAAATATTTTACATATCAGGATAACATTTTTACATAATTTAATGGTAACATCATCGTTTAAAGTAGAAACAGTCCTAGTGAGGTTGAGAATTCAAATTTACACCTTAATATGGCTTCACAATCAGTCGAAACTTGGCTTGTTCACCTATTAAAACAAGTAGAAAAAATAGATAAATAAAAATAAACATTTGTAGCTCACAAAGTTTTGCAAAGAATCAGAATCTACCTACACGTCCGAAAATGTTACTTTTTATCTCAAGAAGCACTTAACGAGTCTTAAACAAAAATAACCTAAATAAATTAATACGATTACAGATAATAGGTTGGCCTCTTGTGACGGTGAAGAGGTCAACGCATGACTAGAACTTACACTCAGGCAAATATTCGTAGATATTTGTTCACTAAAACTATTTGGCTTTGTGTTAATATTAGGATCACAGGCATCCCTGTTAGTCACAGCACACCAACGGACAGCTAACCGAATACTCCTGATATAAAAATTACTTTTACACTTTTCCAACGGCTACTGGTTTAATCTACCTGTACAGTGTAATTATTTTATACATAAATAAATTTACAATATCGAGGGTGAACACATAACAGTATGCAAGAAGATGATGGCCACACCCGGTGTATGGTGAGTTTGCTAGCTCGCTAGTTTTGCTGGTTCGCTAGCTCAGAAGCTCTCCTCCTCTAGCACCATGTGCATGAGCCGCTTGAACGTGTTGCTCTGCTGAATGGTGTCCTGGTGACCAACGGAGTTGACCTGGAACAAGACAGATTGGTTGAGTCAAGGCAGACAAAAAGATTTAAAAATAGATCGACAGCAGTGCTGTGGTTAGCATATGTTCTGGAGTCTACCGCTAGGATTGCCTTGTAGTTACGGCACGCACCGCTGCAGTGCAAGTGTGGTATTGCAGGTAGCAGACGGGGAGGATCCGACGACGGCAGAGAATCGAACACAGATTACACCCAGTAACACACATCGTGACACATCGTGAAACCTTCCTTTGACATTCTACATTTATTCTATTTGTCTATGGTAAAAGTTACTAGTTTGAATGGAATATGGCTAAAATATTTAAATTGTTTTTTTTTTTCAATGTTGACAATTATAAACTGCAATAACTTTTTAGATTTTACAATCAAAGAGTTATTACGGTTGGATTCAAAAGTACTTTAAATGTGATACCATTTACAATTTTGATTTATTGGTTAGTTTAGTGGAATTTTACTTTGAAAATGTTGAATGTCAACCATTTTGATAATTTTAGAATCTTTAAAACTACCAAAAAACTTTTTTTTTTAAACTGATGTTTACAATTATACAGTAGTGTAGTTGGGGTTGAGTTAAAAAGGCCAATAAATAGTTTATGCCAAGTTTCACTAAAATATACAGCTATATTTTAAGTTATTAGTTACTTATTATAACAAAAATACAAAATAGCAGATTTTTACCAAGCTAAACCAAAATTTAGGAATATTTACTTGGAAATTTTGGATTTTTTATGTTTAGAATCTGTTTTTGCACACCCTGCTACGCCTTTGTGACATTTGTGTGTGTGTGTTTTATGTATAATCAGTATAAATAATCAGTATATATTTATGTATAATTATGAAAAAGTCAATGCTTATACTGTACTTACATTGTGGACAGGGCCGGGGACTGCGTGGGCTTGTGAAGATCTGTGAGGCGTTGTCTGTAAGTAGAAACAATCTCGTTAAAATATATACATTTACATTAACTCAGATCATTGGCAATCAAAAATGTGCCATGAACGACATTGATAACATCTTTTTACAAGACTATTTTTGACTTTTTTAGAAGAACAGTTTTTAAGAATATTTTTTTAGAGTAATATTTGAATTTTTTGTAAGAATAGATTTAATTCAGATTTCCAGTTATACTTTAGATGTATGCCTTCGAGCCTGCCCAGTGGTGGTCCCAGGATTTCATTTCGGGGTGGGGGGGGGGGATGACCACAGAGGTGTCTAGGGGTTATGGAATATCCCCTAGAAAAAAGGGGGTCCAGGCCCCCCCCCTGGAAAAATGTGGAATTTAAAGCCTAAAAACATATTTTTATTTGAGCTCTGAAATATGCTCAAGCTGATAGTAGGCTATTTATGTTAGATAATAAAATATAAAATATTTCGGGGGGGGGGGATTTACCCCTCCCAGCCCCCCCCCTGGGACCGCCACTGAGCCTGCCTTAAGAAAAATGAACAGTATAGTATAGTTTATAGTTTACATGAGAACTTGGGTCGTGTTTCTATATTTAAATGAAATTTCAATAATACTGTATTGTTTATTTTTTTTGTATACATTAACTCTTTGGGCTCAAATTTTCTTATTTAAGCTAGGTGAAGTCTATCCTGTTTACATAAAAACTCCAGTAATGACCTAGAGTTTCCTGTCTCAGTACTTTTGTCTGTAATTATAATGTTTTTTCTGTAACTGTAATTTTTTTGTTCTCATGGTCTACTTAGTACAGTAGGTACAGGGATCAATGGTGTAACTATGAAAATATTCCCACTCAGTTGGAGATACATTAATGAATATTTTACTAATTTAAATGGGCTACAATAATTCACTCTTCAAGGCTCAAATGTTTGATTCAAGGGTTTTACTAGGATGGTTTTTTTTTAATAGTTCTAGGTTCATAAAAAAGGGTGTTTCAATTTACAAATCTGGGTAATGCAATGGTAATGCTATCTTAAATAAGACAACATGGTATGGTCTACAATAGCAAATCTGGGTACAGTACCTATTTATTATATACAAATGTTGTATACAAGAGTAGGGATCTCAAAAAAACTAAAGAGATTACAGGGTTAATAGGTTATGCCATGCATTGCTTACCTTTGCCCTGAGGAGTTGTTCAAGTTTCTATCCAAACAAATGTTATTAGTAAGCAGGTTAATGATTGATTAAAATTGCTCAATTTTAGTGTATTTGTAGAAACTACAACTAAAATATGGATCATATACTTGATTGTAATGCTCTTGTTATTGTAAACAATGAATAGTCAAATAGTATCTTTCAACAAAGCTGTAAAAAAAACTCTGGGTGAAAATATAAATTTATGTATAATGTCTTGCTATTAATATTTCTGTGACCTCTATGTTAAAAATTAATGGCCAAACAGTTAGTAGCTGAAACTCAAAAAAGTTGTGAAGAACTGTCAAAAAGTTCCATACTATGAAATATGAAAAATATAGTAAAGGTGCAAAAAAAAGCATACGAAGCAAAATAAAATGCAGTTAGTGATTATTATTTTTTAGTCTTAAATAACAGCCGTGAAGCTATTAAGTTTTTCATCTAAAAAATAAATAACTTGTATTGACTTTTGGACACTGAAGAAGAGATCCCATTAATTTGAAATAGTGTGTTTGTCACAGCTGTGAAGTTTTGAGTCTGTAGTGAGTTTGATGTCTCTGGTATATTAATTCGACAGAAATAGTGTCCTCTTTATGGGACCCCCTAAATATTAAAAATCTTGCTACAACTTTAACTTGAGAATGAAAATGTAGTTCTATCCATAGTCTAACTTATGAACTATCAGTTAATTTTAGTTGCGAAAACTTGTTTTGCTTAAGTCTGAGTAATTATTGCATTTGGCATTGCTACGTACCTTGGTATTGACTTTGGCGGGAGAGAAGACTTTAGGCTCCACGGGGGTGGGAATCTCCTGAACGGTGTCACCGAACTCTGACTCCTTTAACGCCTTGTAGGTCTCGGACTTGGCCGGGTCGTACACCACCGTCTTCTTGTAGCTGTGGGGTAAAGGAGGGGGCAAAGGATTACGGTGGGTTTTAAGCCACAGAAAGATTCAATTTCCAGTTACGTTACATGAGCGGCAAATCGTTAACATATTTAGAAGCCACATTTAAAGCGGGATAAATTCATTAGTTACATCGGCACGTACAAAAAGCAAACAAACAAAACATTCCGATTAAAACGTTAAGTGAAAAGAAAAGTTAATTTTGAATTTGAAGAGGGGTTCGGATTATTTGGAATTGGTCGGTTGGGGTGGTTGGGATTTGAGTTTTAGGAAGGACAGATCAATGAAAATGCTAAATCAGCTATGCAGAATCCGTTCTTGCCGAGTAAAAAATATTCTACTAGGCTGGCACATAAGAACTACCATCATACAGTAAAAAGTTATTAGAAAAAATCAGCACGTAAAAACTTAAACTTAAAACTTTTATTTTATTGTTTTGTGACAGTTAACTTTACATTTTCCAAGTTTTATTTTTGTTTGTGACTTGTATACTATTCCTACAAGACATTTTTGCAATTGTTTTCATGTGCCAGCCATTTATTTAGAATACAATTGAAAAATAGCTACAACTAATGCAAGTAAAAAATATCTTTACCCTACCAATGTATATCATGCATTTGATTTTTGACCCATTTAGTTTCCTTGAAGGTCTAAAATATATTTTTTTATCACTAATATCATTTTAAAGTGTTTTCTTTCTTTGTATATATTATTAGATATTTTTTGCTGAGTTTTATCGGATAAACGTGAGTGTATCTTATACTGCATAGGAAATAGATTCCTTAGGTTTTTATGGTGTTGTCAAGAATCTGTTCTTATAATTTTTTTATCAAAACTTAATTTTGTTTGATATTTTCTTACTAAACTATGTATTAAAAATTAAATATGTGCAAATTATAAGTTATTTAACATTTAAATTAAAACATTCAATTAGTTAAGCAACATTTAGACAAACATGAGTAATATTATTAATGATTTACTTTTATTATGACTCATAATTAATCCAGTTATCAATGGAGACTTGATGATTGTTAATGACGAATTATATTTTGACATATTATATCCAAGCTTAAATAATTCTAAGCTAAAATTATTTATTCATTTCCATTTTGCCACATTCATTTCATGCAGCTATTCAATTTTATGAAATCTATGTCAGTTTCTCTTTGCACTATATTGTGGCTGCCTAAAAGACATGCCATGACCATCTTCTGCTACCACCAACTTTTCCTTCTACCTAAAAATACTCGACAATTTCAGAGGGATCATTTTATAATTCCTGATTGATCCCGTTTTTTTTAAGACAGCAGGTGAACCTAGGGAAAAGATTTTAGCAAGGATAAGGAAACTAGAAAGAAGGAATGGTTTTACCAGTGCTTTCGTTCAAATTGATATTTTTAATTTTTAGTTATTTAGGAAAATGCAATATTTTTTGTAGAGTTATTTAACCCTAGTTTGTTGACTGTCTTTTAACAGGTAACTTCAAAATAAATACGGTACGATACTTTTTTATGATTTGTAACTACTATCCCTCAAGAATCTGTACAGTTGTTAAATGTTCAGTGAACTAATTGTATAGCAATTTACTTGCCAGCAGTCCATCAAAATCAAAATAAAAGTTTATCTAAATTATTATAATCATAGTAGACTTTTCTAATAATGTATACATTTAAAAAAGGCGTTTAAAAATTGTCATGCAACTTGTATTTTTTCAAACACATGTGGTAAAAAAGTATTTGGCTTCTCATGTCAAGCATTGTTTATTTTATGAAATAATTTTTTTGGAAAAAACATAAACCATGCAAAAGATTTACAAAATAATGTAACTACCAAATTTATATCTACACCGTCTTTGTAATAATTTTCATAGAATACTGAAGTATGCAAAGTTTTAGTTTGCTTACAGGCAAAATTTGACTAAAACTACAAAAACTTATCACAAAGAAGTGAGTGCAATTTCGCATTTTGCTCACCCTTCTTAAAATACTTCCTAGAATACTCGTAAGCAATACGAATTGAAGGCAGAACAGCTAACTATGTGCTAAAGCGAAAAAGTTGAGAGAAAGATTATAACAAATGTATTAAGTTCTACATAGAGTAAGAGTAAACTAAATGCAGAAGTTGGTGGCAGTAGCGAGATCTAAAGTTACTTGCCTCAGCCTATTCGGGGACCAGGCTGGTGGTGGATAAACAACCCTATAGACATCAACATACGTAAAAATATCCATTCTGTGCTGCGGCATCTCATCATAATATAAACTATAAATATTAAAAATAATATACTGACAGTTCTGTTTATGTGTGCTATTACAGAAAGCCATTTAAGATTGTTTATTTGCTAAGAATATATACTTTCAAATCAGTATTAAATGTTAAAATTTAAAAATTACTTTGGATTGGCTTTTGCGTTAACTTTATTACTTGAAAACCGTCTCGCACAAACAACAATTGAATAGCATTTGACTTCCTAAATAGGATTATCTACTAAAACAATTAATTGTGGTCCCAAAAAAAGTTTTATATGTATTTTAAATTTATTTTTCATTTAAATCATTAAAGTTTTAATCAAAATGCTTCTTTATTTCGAATTGTATTGAGAATTCTCCCTTCTAAATTACCCATAAAATCCCATAGTTTGGTACAACCCCAACCCATAGTTTGGACAAATGTGGACAATAATTACAAAATTGTCACAATATATGTGCAACCTTTCTATTTAAAAGCCCTGAACAAGTTGACTTTAGTTTTGTATACAGAACAATATTTTAATGTCTTTCTTTATTTATTTAATGGGAAAACAATTTAATTTTGCTATGTAAAAAATAATATTTTACTTACGGAGTAGCCCCTGTCTGTTGTGCAATTGTGTTTACAATGTTGTCTTCTGAGTACAGTCCAATTGGAGAGTTGAACTGGGACACCACCTGTGTAAATACATGTATTAATACACAACACATCTTGTATGATCTATGCAATATTGTCTAAAATGTTATCCACACACTTGTAACAAGTTTGGTTCAACCTCAAAAGATTTAGGTCAACATATTATTTACAATAATCCTGCATTACAAAAAAACGAATTAAAAATTGTCTGTGTAAACTTTTTAAAATTAATTTTAAAATAAATAATTAAGTAAAATTAATTTGTGGAAACATTGATTCTGTTTGATCAAACTAAATCAGCACTACTGATCTAATTACGCTCTGCTGCCTCTTGTTGACAATGATAGGAATCATTCACTGAATGACATTGGAGAGATTTTTTCCCTTTGTATTTATGACAGATTCACATACTTACTGAATGAAATTGTCCAAAAATCAATCTTTCACAACAAATAAATTTATTGTAGAATAATAACTGTGCTGTTTGAATAGCTGACTAATACCAATGAATACAAAACTGTTTACTAAGGGTTTTATATTCATTGCTAATACATTATGAGTTTAATGCAGTTGTAAATATAAATTTTAAATTTACTTTTTCACTACTTATCGCAAGCTTACCCATAAGTTTTATCATGTTTTCCCTATAAATATCAATTTAAAAAATTCTTTTATTTGAAAAGTAGGCTAGTAGTAAAAAATAATTAATTTAGAAGTTAAAAACTGTTTTTAAAAAATTGTGTCGGTTGTTTACGGTTTGTGACGTACAGTAGTTAAACATAATTGGTTGATTCTTTTTGAATTTTGTTTTCACTATATTTTTCCAGTGACATGTGGACTTGTGTTTTCAATGTACTGACCTGGATCTGGAGTATATATCAAACTATTTTAACTGTTTGTAGTGGGTGTGCGGTTTTATTCTGCAGGGATATTTTTACTGTGCAGTTGGCAGTAGAGTGTATATGACTGGCTAACATCCAAGCCAATTCTGTCTGTTACTATTTCCACAGATATCTTGTTACACTAAGAATTTGCAACAAAATTTAAACTTTAGTTATAAAAAACAATTGCATATTGCTGGAAACTTGTCTAGACAAGTTTTGCTTCACTCATCATCCATCGTGCAATGAGAAAAACCAAAAAAGTTTTACAAAGCAATTTTTGTTGTTGGACAAAATTGTAAGTACAGTTCAACCTATATTGATATCAGCAATAAGCTATGTAGAGTTAATGCTGAACTATTGGGGGTTCATCACTTATCTACTTTACCTAAAGAATTAAACTAAAAAAAAACATTTCTCTTTCTTTTATGTCCTCAAAATGTAAGACAAATTTCCTATATTAGTTAAGAATAAATTTAAAAACACAAAAAAAGTAGTTAAACTTTCTTTTGTTAACATGACACACAATATTAAAAACATGTTAAAGACCACAAAGCTAGGAATTAATGATAAACATAAAGCATTAACTAAAATTACTTTTAGATATAACACTTGTTATTGAGGCAGACTAAATACACTACTATTTTAGTTATGAAGCTTAAGATGTTGTTTTCGAGATAAACATTGTGAAAGCGATGGGTTGTGCAAATCACTACTCTAAACTCTGACGATGTTTCGTGATTTATTATACAGTAAATGTTAGTTAATTTTTCCTAAAGGTTAGCGTCCGCAACAAAATTATATACCCTTGTACTACTGAAATTGATGTTCTAAGGGATTTCCAAGTAAGAGTAAAAACCAAGATCAATGATAATAACAAGTTCAGTAAGAAATAGATTCACTATTTGTTGACATTTTGTTGGTAAAAATATAGTGTCCAAATTCCAAATTGCATCTGACTATCTATTCTATATATATAATACGCTAAGCCGATTTTTGTGAACAGAACTCCTCCCTCATTTTTGGACCGATTTTGATGATTAAAATGTCAAAAGAATTGCCCTGATCTGTAGTTTTGCAAAGTGTTTTTAGTTTTTTGATATCTTTATTAGTTTAGGCAGGATCTTCCATCAAAGTTGGATTTTCTCCCTTAGATTAACATGGGGGAATCTAAAAATTGTATTGGAAACTTTGTCTCCATAGTCGAGTAAATATAGGCACTTGAGATAGAACAAATTCCAACAAATGGTTTTTCGACGGTTTTTGGTAGTAATAGGTGTAGAAAGTACCAGGAAAAAAGTCTACCAAAATCGGACAACCGGAAGTCGGGTTTTTCCAAGATGGCCGCCGCGAGGCCCTCAAATCGACAAGATGACTGCAAATTCGTCGATTCATAGTTCCAGGATTGGCCGATTTCCATGAAAATTGGCAAACACATGTAGAATTATATTTCCAACCTTAAATATGAAAACTAGGCAGACAAAGTAACACAAAGATGAATTTTCAGGGTATTATATGCTAAAAAATAAGATTTTTTACCTCCAATATATGTTTTTCTAATATTTTGTACAAAGTTTGTTATAATTTCAAATTTTTTTTTTCACCATTAGATTCAACACAAAAAACCTAACAATTTAGTATATTGAAGCTTTGTTCTACTTCAATTTGTTACAGAGATATTGAAAATAATAACTTTAGTATGTTTTCTTGCCGAGATAACTCAATGTTAATCTTATGGAGAATAAGCATAAATATTAATATTATTTTTCATTAAACCTATATAGATAAGACTTTTTTTCTGCCTTATATTATCTGTTTTAATATTTTTTTTATAAAAATTCCTTTTTTGACAGTTACCATTGCAGCAAACCTACGTATCGGTTCCTCAGTTTTAATCATAAGGAGAATAAGCAAAAATATTTTTTTTATTAGTCCGAGAAATATAGAATATTACCTTAAAAAATTGCAAAAAAAACGTTTTATGGTTTTTTGTTGTAGTGTTTGGTATGCAGAGTAATATAGTAAAAATTGCCAAAAATCGGTCTACTGGACAACCCCTAGAATCAAGATTTAATATGACGGATTTTCTCAACATTGGCAAAAAAATCCACATGCATTTTCATTGATATTGACTTCAGACCACCACGGATATTTATTGGGTGGTCATTTCTTCATTTCGATAGGGAACGTGTTTTCGGCCGTCATTTTGGATCCCCCTAACGGATATAAAATTTTTTTCAATGTAATGACAGTGCCATTTCAATAGGGAACGTGTTTTTGGCCGTCATCTTTGATCGGCCATATTGGATATAAATAATTTTTTTTATGTAATGGCAATGTTGTGACACATTATTTTAAACTAGATTTTCACGCCCACTCCATTGATTGCCAAGATGAGTTTTTAAATATATGTTTTTCGTTTTAAAGATATAATCAAACGAAAATTCTCCTGCATACATTTCTTAAGGACGTTTCGTATTTTGAAAATTTTTTAAGATAATTTTTTCTTATATCTCCAGTACATATTAACGCTTGCAGTTCGTTCTAGCCTTAAACATTAAGTAATGTAAGGGCTTTCATTTGAGCTATTGATCATTAAAATCTGACGAGTTAGAGACTAGTTACCAACCCCAACAAAATATTAAATTTCACTTTTTAGAAATACATTTTTATTAAAATATTTATATCTCGGGTTCTTAATACGCCACCAAGTTCTTTCTGGTTTCATATTACTCAGTAAATGTTTGGGTTATTTTTTTAATCACTCAATAAAATGTGAAAAATTTAATATGGGTCTGTCTTATTTAACAAGATTTTTTTTTTCGAGATTTGTCTTTAGTTTAAGACATATACCCCCAAATCGAAAAATAACTCCCAATACACTTTATAATCTTAAAAGATGCATCAAAGTATTGACTTTTACTGTAGTTATGGATTATTTATTGGGAGTTATTAGAATTTGGGATATATGTACTTAACTAAAGACAAATTTCAAATGCAAATAATTTAATATTAAATTAAGGTGCATGACTCATTTTTTATTAATTAGTCAGATATTATTAGTGACTAATAAAATAAAAAACCTAATTCTCTACTGAGTAATTTGAGACCAGAAAGAACTTTGTGACGTATTAAGAACCCGAGATGTAAATCATTTTATAAAAACTGATTTATAAAAAGTTAAATTTAATATTTTGTTAGGATTGGTATGTCGTCTCTAACTCGTCCAATTTTAATGATCAATAGCTCAAATGAAAGCCCTTACATCATTAATTATTTAAGAATGAACTACTAACTGAAGATAAGGAAAATAATCGTAAAAAAATGTCAAAGTACAAAACGTTTAAAACAAAAAAATGTATTTAAAAATGGATTTCGGCAATGGAATATGCGTGAAAATCTAGTATATATAGTAATAATGTGTTACAACACTGTCGTTACAACAACAAAAAATTATATCCAATAAGGTGGATTCAAAATGGCGGCCAAAATACGTTTCCCATCGAAATGAAGTACTGACCACCCAATAAATATCGATATTGGTCCCAAGTCAATATTTAGAAAATTGTGCATAGAAAATGCTTATGATATCTTTTTTTTCAAAATTTGTCCAATGTTGGGAAAATCCGACTCTGCACACCTAAAACTACAACATAAAACCATAAAACGTTTTCTTGCAATTTTTTAAGGTAATATTCTATACTTCTCGGACTAATAAAAAAAAATATTTATGCTTATTCTCTTTATGATTAATACTGAGGAACCGAATACGTGCTGCAATGGTAACTGCCAAAATAGGAATTTTTAGTAAAAAAATATTAAAACAGATAATATGAAGCAGAACAAAAAGTCTTACAGTATCTATATAGGTTTAATGAAAAATAATATTAATATTTATGCTTATTCTCCATAAGATTAACATTGAGCTATCTCGGCAAGAAAACATACTAAAGTTATTACTTTCAATATCTCTGTAACAAATTAAAGCAGAACAAAGGTTCAATATACTTAATTGTTAGGTTTTTTGTGTTGAATCTAATGGTGAAAAAATAAATTTGAAATTATAACAAACTTTGTACAAAATATTAGAAAAACATATATTTGAGGTAAAAAATCTTATTTTTTAGCACATAATACCCTGAAAATTCTTCTTTGGGTTA